GTTCTACACCTTCACTTGACGAAACAGAAATACTTGATCCTGTTATCGTGGTTTCTGTATCACCAAAGGCCAAGACCAAGCTTACCGGATCACTTTCCTCCATAACCCAAAACGTATGTTTGTTTTTGGCCAGTGTTGCATAAAAAGTGACGTTTTTAGTTGTCGTAATTGTTTTTGGTGGTTGCCAGTAGAAAACTAAGTTCTCTCTATTGGACGTATCCGCGTGAGTCACACTTGATTCAGGTGAGAACTAAATTTAAATTAAGAAATAGAAAACCGCATTTTCCGTGTTTCTATACAGTTATAGAAACACGCGTGGGAGTTTGGGAGAACGAGAAATAATCATGTTTTCTTTTTCTTTTATATAATATAACTCAAAATTTTTTATATTTATATTTACCTCAGATCCTGAAAGTGAGCAGTCCAGATACTTAACATTAGCATTCTCGGTTATGTTTATGAAGCTGCCAATACCGGGTTCGTAAATTCCCAATCTAGCCTGTATGAGAAAACCTTGTATTGGGTTATTTCTATCACCGTCGACAGAAACACGAACCATTCTCATATGCCTGTCCCATTTAGCAGTGAATGTATACGGACTTGGAATTGACTGAGTTTCAGCAAATCGACCCGAACTTGGATTAAAATGTCGCGGCTGCATGTTGACACAAGCGAATGACGGAGCCCCATCTGGATAAGATGAAACACACTTAAAAACAATAACCAGGACGATAGTCTTTATTGGACACATTGTACCAATACCTCCCATTCAACTTTCAACTGTTTGCTGTTCTAGCGAGGAAACAATTTGTATGGACCTTGTATATAAAAAGTCTCAGGTATGACGTAGTTTTATGTTCCGTGTTTGAAGTTGGGCAATGCGCCCAGTTGGGCAGTCAGGAACATCCTTTGATATAATAATAATTATAATACTTATATATATAATAGGTTTAGTTAACTTTGCAGAATAAACTGAATTATGTCAAAGCGAAGATTTTATAAAATTGAAGGTTCATATAGAGGATCGAGTCGAGCCAACCGGTGTAAAATATATATTCGTCAACATACAGCGCATATGGGCGTGTATTCTAGAACAAGCTTATTCGCATGATCATGAGACATGACGCTGTTCCGGCAATGTTTCAAAGACTCTTACTTTTAGTCGAGCTCAAGGTGCGAAACGTCTAAAATATTGTGCTTTAATATTCAATAACTCCATTTATTACAAAACTTTTAACTGTCTTCACACGAAGTGGAAGATAACATCGCTGTTTAAAACTAGTGACTGACAAATCCATCTAATTCAAATTTCAATCTTGCCCACACTTAGTAAAATCCTGTAGAGGGCCGTGCATTCACAATTATCAAAGCCCCTGGAAGAAAATAACGTGCTTTTTCGAATCGGCAGTTTGGTTTCAGAATACGGTTTTCCACTGCATATACTTTAATCTAACATCTTTTGAAGATGAAATGTTATAAAAAATGGAGCAATTAGGAAGTCTTTGTGGAGAAGACTGTGCTGCAAACCACAAAATTTTGATATCGGATATAGGAGTGCCGGGAGATGCCCTTCAGTGGTTTAATTTATATACCTTGTGAACAGGAAACAATGCTGTGGCACTGATTTATTTAATCCAATGTGGAACATTTGCAAGTAAAGTTAACCAACAGCTCAGCCTTCTCCGGCGGATAAAAGTATTTTTATCCTTTAAATCAAGTGTACCTCTTTACCATGGCCTTGTTCACCCTTGAGACATATATTTTGGGGACACAAAAAAAACAATACGCATGGCAACTTTATTTACATGCAAGTGTTACAAAGTACATATATAGCTGCCAAGATCATTCTCGACAATTAAGCTATTATACTCGTCTTTAACAGTTCAATTAAAGAACTGCTAAAGATTATACCATTAGATAACAAAAGATTCGAATTAAGGTACATTAAGGCACACGTGTATATGTGTTTAAATGGGCTTGTTAATTATCATATTCTATAGAAACAAAAGGAATAAAGAAAAAAAATTAAAGCATCAAAAGAAATTGGGGCAGGCGGAGATTTTGCTATTAAGCAGCCGATGATTATAATAGTCGAAATGATATTAAATTTTTCAGCAATATTCAAGTTTTTATACGCAAAGACATTTTTAACTGAATAATCTTTAGCAAATAAATGAGAGTTATTTAAATGTGTCTTGTCATCCGATATAGGAATTTACCATTTTTAATACTACGTAGGTAACCCTAAGGTCCTTTTTGAAAATCATTATAATTATAGTAATGAAAAAGTTTAACTTTTAACACGCTTTAAAAACAATGGACTTCAGATTGCCATTGCAATATCATTGACCGCGTATAATATTAACTTTAGTATATTACGGTTGCTCTCAGCCCACGATATTTGCGTTCTTTAACATCTGATTCTACAAGGTGAAGCACTGGTACACGAGAATTTACGAAGCATTGAAATGTGACAATAACTTGGAGGTCTTCGGTGATCGAGTTGCGGCGCTAGGCTCATTTCATGGTCAGTGCCGCTCTGTTATACCTTAATTTATTATTTGATTATGCACGTATCCAAATAAAACAATTTCAACGTCGTCTTAACATCATGTAGTTTTTCATTAAAAGTTTGATCGATAAATTAATACTGATTCATGCATAAGTGGATTACAAGTTCATCTTGCAATGAAAGTACAGTATTTACTTTGTCTATCTAACCTCTGCGTGAATAGATAAGCTAATGTATTGTGACCGGGATGGAAGCGTAGCTGTAGACAACCCAAACGATGGCTTTGTAGTTGACGCAGCACCAGTGGATACATTTGTCGTTGGAAAGGTAGGATTCGTTTGCCTACGTGACTGAGAGAGAGACATAGCTGTAGAAAATACAAACGCTGGTTTTGTAGTTGGTGCAGTACCAGTGGGTGCATTTGTCGTTGAAAAGGTAGGATTCACTCCATTACGTGACTGAGATGTTAACGCAGCTGTGGAAAACACAAACGAAGGCTTTGTAATTGACGCAGCACTAGTGGTCACATTTGCTGTTGGAAGGTTAGGGTTAGGATTCGTTTCACTACGTGACTTAGATGGAGGCGTAGCTGTAGAAAACAAAAACGCAGGCTTTGTAGCTGACGCAGCACCAGAGGACACATTTGCTGTTGGAAGGTTAGGATACGTTTCGCTACGTGACTGAGATGGAGGCGTAGATTTAGAAAACAAAAATGCAGGCTTTGTTTTTGACGCAGCACCAGTGGTCACATTTGCTGTTGGAAGGTTAGGATACGTTTCACTACGTGACTGAGATTGAAGCGTAGCTGTAGAAAACAAAAGTGAAGTTTTTGTAGCTGACGCGGCGCCAGTGGTCACATTTGCTGTTGGAAGGTTATGATATGTTTCACTACATGACTGAGATGGAGGCGTAGATGTAGAAAACACAAACGCAGGCTTTGTAATTGACGCAGCATCAGTGGACACATTTGCAGTTGGAAAGGTAGGATTCGTTTTTCTACGTGACCGATATAGAAGCGACCGCGTAGCAGCAGACAACCCAAACGAAAGCTTTATAGTTGACGCAGCACGCGTAGATACATTTGTTGTTGGAAAGGTAGGATTCATTCCACGACGTGACTGAGACGTATCTGCAGGAAACACATGCAAAGGCTTTGTAGTTGACGCAACACTCGTGGATACATTTCTCGTTGGAAATGTAGGATTCATTCCAACACGTGACTCAGATGGAGGCGTGGTTGTAGAAAGCACAAACGAAGGCCATGTAATTGACGCAGCACCAGTGGATACATTTGTCGTTGAAAAGGCAGGATTCACTCCATTACGTGACTGAGATGGAAGCGTAGCTTTAGAACACACAGATGAAGCCTTTGCAATTGACGCAGCACTGGTGGATACATTTGTCGCCGGAAAGGTAGGATTCATTCCACGACGTGACTGAGACGTATCTGCAGGAAACACATGCAAAGGCTTTGTAGTTGACGCAACACTCGTGGATACATTTCTCGTTGGAAATGTAGGATTCATTCCAACACGTGACTCAGATGGAGGCGTGGTTGTAGAAAGCACAAACGAAGGCCATGTAATTGACGCAGCACCAGTGGATACATTTGTCGTTGAAAAGGCAGGATTCACTCCATTACGTGACTGAGATGGAAGCGTAGCTTTAGAACACACAGATGAAGCCTTTGCAATTGACGCAGCACTGGTGGATACATTTGTCGCCGGAAAGGTAGGATTCATTCCACGACGTGAGTGAGACGTATCTGCAGGAAACACATGCAAAGGCTTTGTAGTTGACACAACACTCGTGGATACATTTGTCGTTGGAAATGTAGGATTCATTCCAACACGTGACTCAGATGGAGGCGTGGTTGTAGACAACACAAACGAAGGCCATGTAATTGACGCAGCACCAGTGGATACATTTGTCGTTGGAAAGGCAGGATTCACTCCATTACGTGACTGAGATGGAAGCGTAGCTTTAGAACACACAGATGAAGCCTTTGCAGTTGACACAGCACTGGTGGATACATTTGTCGCCGGAAAGGTAGGATTCATTCCTCTACGTGACTGGGATGGAGGCGTAGCACCAGTGGATACATTTGTCGTTGGAGAGCTAATAAGGGACGCAGGTGTTGTTGCCATTTCATATTTCATATGAACAGATGACACACGTGCTTTCGTCTTAAACGTGTGCAATTTCTCCGCAAAAGGGTCCGAGGGTAGTAATTTACAATTTAATTTACTTGTTGGCTTCCATTTAATCGTTACTTCACTTCGGTCAGTCAAATTAAGAACTTCCAAAGAAAGTTTAGCACGGAACAGCGCATGGTTTTCAACCTGAAAAACATCTTCAATGACCAAAACCATTTTATAGCCACAAAACCAAAACTCATCTGACCTGTAGGATTTATCGCTTCCCACCAACATATCCAACTGATCTCCCGGTATATCCCATGTGTAGGCAACACAGGGCAATTTATTATTTAATTTCCTTGTCGCTGGTTGAGGCAACGACCGTTGTCGTGTTGTTCCTGATAGAGCATGATAACTGATTCCTCTTAGGTAATGATCATGGAAATCTGGTAGCATCTTTGCGATAGGATGGTGCTGAACAACATCGTACAGATAATTAAAAGTCATCAATTCAAATCTGACAACAGACAATAATGGTGGAAGCTCGCGACTTTCTGAGAGTTTCTCAATCCCGCGTTTCTCAATCCAGTGCATTAATGCATGAAAAATCGTGTTCTCACTGGCTGCGACGAGTTCATCACTGCCCAGAAGATACCTTAATGAAGCCACATTTAAATGTTCAAAACCTTTTGTCTGCCATTTTTTATCTAAAGGACTAAATTTTTTAGCCAGGAACGACTGTAGGGTGATTACAAGATCGTCGACATCAGAAATCGTATTCTCGACTCGTATAAAGCGCACAATCTTCTCGCAAGTTGCACGTGACACTACAGCAGCTTGCAAACCGTATTCGCACTTCTTCAATACAAACTTTACATCGTATTTATAAGAAAGCCGTAAAACTTTGAGAAGTTCATCAACACTAGCATTATCCAGAGAATGGATCCTATACATTGCTTCTAATAACATTAAATGAGCTTTCTCCTCACTTCTAGGAATTTTCACATGAACTTCTTTGCGTCGAGGCGTATTTCTTTCAGAGAAAAACAAGGACCGAAAGTAAGAACTCTGCACGGCTAACCATGAACTATGAACATAGAATTTATGTTGTTGCGTGATTTGACCTTCACTGGTAATGGAAGAGAAACTCGTTATTTTATTGCTACCACTTGGAATCTCACCGGGATATAACGGTTTTTCACTTTGTTTTGCGTCATTTGGACTGCGATTTAAATAATTATCATCATTTCCAATTTTCCATTCAAGCTGATCCTTCAATTTGCTTCTATTGCTCGAACGCCGCTTCAGTTTCACGTTTTCACTAAGTGTTATCTCATGCTCGTTGGCGACTGCCGTTTCCCTCGCGCTTTTGTCCTCATCAGTTGGGCATGATCCAAAGTGTTGATCACCTAAGTTGTTCAATTCTTTTCCCCGATTACCTTTTAAAAGAAATAAACGTACATAGGACGATTAATCACATGTATATATAAAGCATCCGAATATTTATATAGTTTGATTAATCAATAAATAATGCCCAAGCATTCTTATGGGGATCCCTTTGTTTTCGATTTCTTTGTTTAAAACAGAGATAATAAAGTTATGATACTCATATTTGGTTTATTATTTATTCAGCAATCCATGCAGCGACTCCGTATAGGTGCACATATAACGACAGGAATTCTTTATCTGCTTTATCGAATGGGGCAAAGTTGCTGACTGCGTTATTGGCTGTAAGAGTCAGGTTGCATTCGAAAATTGAACCTTTTGAAATGGATTTTTATGTACTAAATTGAAGGCATGCAATTGAAAGAAATGTTTTAAAGCTCGCGACATCTTCAATTTGTAGCTCTCCACTACTGCATGGTTCTCGTTAACACCGATGGTGATTTTATAAAAGAAGTAAAACAACTTTGTTTCAGAGATGTTGTAAAGCACGGAAAATACATACCCCATGAAACTTACTATAGTTTTTGTAGCTGTACATTTGGAGCTATATAACGCGCAGGGAAAGTAATCATTTTTGGCTCGAAAATAGTTACCCAGTCAGTGTGTAATATAGAAATTATTTGCAGAAACCTAATAGCCATAGGGCCTTTTTTCCATTATTTTACATTTCACAACCAGGGTTGCCAGATAATTGCACTGTTTCAACGCGACCAAAATGGGACGTATATCATGGTAAGTTATGTAGGTTAAACTTAGGCCTACGAGCTTTTTGCAAGACGCCCACGCAAACCCCTGTTGATTACCGCGTGATTAATCTATTATTTTTGTGATACTAACCGTTTGCATACATTGGGAGTATTTTGCAGCCGTGGACTCCAGTTTCATTTTCATCGCTAGTATTGTCGACTTTCCCGCTCTGATTTCCAGGTTCGCGTTGATCCTCACCCGCACTGTTCTGGAAAACTACATCGTTTTCACTACTTTTATTCCCTATCACATTCGATGTGCTTAGTTTGTGTTTCTTGGAAGCGACAACATCAAACACCAGAACTCTGTCATGCAGGTCCGGTTGATTAAACTCTCGTTCGAACAACTTCGACAGTCCCAGGGCTAGTTTAAAACCGTTCGCCTGTTGGAAAGCTGAGGACATTTTTACCACGCCACACGTTACAATATGTTTATTTACCTGACGGCATGTAGCCGAATGCTTGTTAAAAATATACGGCTATAGCCGTTTAAATATCACTTGGTAATATTGATATGATGTGTAAGACATCAACGTGTATAGTAGCACTAAACATTTACACCTTTCGGAAACTCTATTCAGAAACCGTGCTTTGGAAGCTTCGGTAATTGTTTGAATTTTTTCGTCTGTGTATCAGGCTAGTGAACAGGAATTACCTTAAATCCTTTCCGTGGAAGTAACCGGAAACAAGCTCTCCCCAAGCACCCCCGCGCGTTCAGTGCTGTATCCGCGAAAACTTTCAAGAGCCTGGGAACGAGGCTGGGAAACAATGCAAACTGGTTGCACACTATTGGCCCCATGGTCGCCTAGACAACCTAGCTATAGAGCGGCATGCTTACGAAAGACGCATCTTAACTACAAATTCCACAACGCGTAACTTGCTGAGAAAATATTAACTCGGGAGTCTGAAAGTTTCAGTTCCGAACTCATCTCGCTATGCTCCCCACCCGGTCAAATTTTTACTATCTACTTGTACCAGCTTTGCGTTTTGTTCTTTAAGTTTGAAATTGTGAAAATATTTGCCAGGTATAATACATGACTGGAAATAAATTAAATGAATTTGAATCCCATTCATTCTCTACGGTCAACATTAGTTACATTGTGTTGACTAAGTCAATATAATGTAGTAATCTATTTACACGTTATACATCGTTTATTTTTATAGTGGATACCAAGTTGATTGCACGTTGGCACCAAAAGTTCCGTGTTTATCTTATTTACTTTACTTTTGCGTAAATGGAAAAGCTAATGCCAGTGAGTACTTTCCCTATTTCACCTGAAGCTGGTTTGCTAACACTTGATGAAGGATTTGCATTTTGATTTGACGAAGCACTGGCGATCGTGGATACATTTGTCGTTGGAAGGCCATAATTCATTCCACCACGTGACTGGGATGAAAACGTATCCGCAGAGAATGCAAAAACTGGCGTTTTAGACGTCGTTGCACCTGTAGATACATTTGTCGTTAGAAAGGTAGGATTTATTCCACTACGTGACCGGGATGAAATCGTAGCTGTAGACAACACAAACGAAGGCTTTGTAATTGACGCAGCACCAGTGGACACATTTATCATTGGAAAGGCAGGATTTACTTCACTACGTGACTGAGATGGAAGCGTTGCTGTAGACAACCCAAACGAAGGCTTTGTAGTCGACGCAGCACCAGTCGATTCATTTGTCGTTAGAAAGGAAGGATTCACTCCATTACGTGACTGAGATGGAAGTGTAGCTGTAGACAACCCAAACGCTGAAGGCTTTGTAGTTGACGCAGCACAAGTGGACACATTTGCTGTTGGAAGGTTAGGATTAGGATTCGTTTCACTACGTGACTGAGATAAAGGCGTAGAGGTAGAAAACAAAAACGAAGACTTTGTAGTTGAAGCAGCACCAGTGGACACATTTGTCATTGGAAAGGTAGGATTAGATTGACTACGTGACTGAGATGGAAGCGTAGCTGTAGAAAACACAAACGCAGGCTTTGTAGTTGATGCAGCACAAGTAGGCACATTTGCTGTTGGAAGGTTAGGATACGTTTCACTACGTGACTGAGATGGAAGCGTAGCTGTAGAAAACAAAAGTGAAGTTTTTGTAGCTGACGCGGCACCAGTGGGCACATTTGCTGTTGGAAGGTTATGATACGTTTCACTACATGACTGAGATGGAGGCGTAGTTGTAGAAAACACAAACGCAGGCTTTGTAATTGACGCAGCACCAGTGGACACATTTGCAGTTGGAAAGGTAGGATTAGATTCACTACGTGACCGAGATAGAAGCGACCGCGTAGCAGTAGAAAACGCACGCAAAGGCTTTGTAGTTGACGCAGCACGCGTAGATACATTTGTCGTTGGAAAGGTAGGATTCATTCCACTACGTGACTGAGACGTATCTGCAGGAAACACATGCAAAGGCTTTGTAGTTGACGCAGCACCATTGAATACATTTGTTGTTGGAAAGGTAAGATTCACTCCATTACGTGACTGAAATGTTAACGCAGCATCTGTAGAAAACGCATGCAAAGGCTTTGTAGTTGACGTAGTACCAGTGGGTACATTTGTTGTTGGAATGCCAAGATTTATCCCATCACGTGACTGTGGTGGAGGCCTAGATGTAATTGACGCAGTCCCGGTGAAGACATTTTTCGTTGGAGAGCTAAGAGGCGGGAGGGTCGTTGCCGTTATATATCTCATATAAACCGAAGACACACGTGATTCTTTCTTAAACGTGAATATTTCCCAAAAGGTTGATATATAACTTGTTTTACTGGTTGGTTTCCACTTAATCGTCATTTCACTTTGATCGGTCAAATTGAGAACTTCCAAAGAAAGTTTAGCGTGGAACATCGCATAGTTTTCAACCTGGGAAACATCTTCAATGACCAAAACCATTTTATAGCCACAAACCCAAAATTCATCTGATTTGAATGATTTGTCGTTTCCCACCAACAAATCCAACTGATCCCCCGGTATATCCCATGTGTAGACTATTGAGGACCATGGATTTTCTCTTCTTGTCACTGGTTGAGGCAACGACCGTTGTCGTGTTGTTCCTGATAGAGCATGATAACTGATTCCTCTTAGGTAAAGTTCATGGAAATCTGGTAGCGTCTTTGCGATGGGATTGTGCTGAACAATATCGTACAGATAATCAACAGTCATCATTTCAAATCGGACAACAGACAATAGTGATGGAAGCTCACGACTTTCTGAGAGTTTCTCAATACCACGTTTTTCAATCCAGTGCATTAATGCATGAAAAACCGTGTTCTCACTGATCACGACGAGTTTGTCACTGCTCAGAAGATACCTTAATAAAGTCTCGCTCAGATCTTCAAAACTCTTTGTCGGCCATGTTTCATCTAAAGGGCTAAATTCTTTTTCAAGAAAAGACTGCAGGGTGATTACAAGACCATCCGCATATGTGATGGCATTTTCAACTTCAATGAAGCACATAATTTTTTTGCAAATTTCAAGGGACACTACTGCGGATTGTAAACTGTAAACACATTTCTGAAATACAAATTCAACATTGTATTCATGAGCAAGCCGCAAAACTTTGAGGAGGTCATCAACACTAGCATTATCTAATGAACCAATCTTATACATCGCTTCTAATAACATGAAATGAGCTTTCTCCTCGTTTCTAGGAATTTTCACATGGACTTCCGTGCACCGATGCGTATTTCTTTCCGGGAAAAACAAGGACCGGAAGTAAGAACTCTGTAGGGCTAACCATGAACTATGAACATAGAATTTATGTTGTTCAATGATTTGGCCTTCACTGGTACTGAAGCTTGTAACCTTATAATTCTTTCCACTGGAAACCCCACTGTGATTCAAAAGCTTTTCACTTGTTTCTCCGTCACTCAGATGGAGATTTGGATCATTGTCATCATTTGAAATTTCAGATTCTGGCTGATCCTTCAATTTGTTTCTATTGTTTGCATGTGGACTTACTCTCACCTTTTCATTTACTGTAATTTCATGTTTGCTAGCGGCTGCTGTCTCTTCGGCTTCATTAACTTCAAAGCATTTCATTTTGTCTTCATCAATTAAGGTATCTTTAATGGCGTTAGTCTCCGTTCCAACATGTTCATCTTCACCCAAATTGTTCAATCGTTTTTCAACTCGTTGACCACCTTTGGAAATAAATAAAGATGCAGATTTGACATTATTTGAAATTTCAGATTCTGGCTGATCCTTCAATTTGTTTCTATTTACTCTCGTATTTTCATTTACTGTAATTCAATGTTTGCTAGCGACTGTTTTTCATACAACTTAATACATGGTAATGTACACAATTAAACGTTATGTTAATTATTTTTCTAAATCAAGCACGAGGGACTACTGACTAGTTGCATCGCTTTTCGTTATTAAAACTGAAATTTAGGGGCCTGAATAAAAGCCTTATACTTATAGGTTTCTAGTAGGTTCCTAGCGACACCGCGGAAATTGGTATAGACTTAGCCGCAATTCTCGATACTTAGACTTCAAACTTGGTGAGGAAAAAGATTTATAAATATTCAAGAAAATATGTCTTGCACAAAAGATTTGAAGCTTGCTCACGGTAAAAACGAATCGTCTGAATTAATAACCTTGTGTATACTTTAAGCCTCAAAATGGCCATTTCACAGCGGTCAGATGTGTATGATGAGCTGTCAAAAGATTGCAGAATGCGTATTCAGAAGAAAAATTGAACTTTTTTAAGATATTCAAAAGGTTTCTCTTTGATAGGGCGATACAGAAATGCACAATTGTGAACCAGCGATTAGATTTTCGGGTTGAAACGTCTTAAACACCAATTTCTGCGGTGTCGTTCCTAGCCCTTATAACAATTATAAAGTAGTTTATTTTGTAAAATGTTGTCTGTATACGTAAAATGTTCGAATTTCACGGATTGCAAACTCAGCGCATGAAAGTTTGTGTTCTGTGTGTGAGTTGTAAAACAAGTCTGAAGTTATTGCAGGACGCCCACGCGAATGCTGGCGCGTCGATCTACAGTGTATTATCGAGAGAAATTTTTTATACCAACCATTTGCATATTTTGAAGACATCTCGCAATTATACACTTTGGTTTCATTTTCATCGTCAGTATTGATTCCCCCATTGTTAACTTTCCCGTCTCTGCTTGCACGTTCCCATTGATTCTCGTCTTCTTCGTTCTCAATTATTTCGTTCCCATTACTCTTATTCTCTCCGACATTTTCTTTGCTCAAGTCGTGCTTATTTGAAGCGACAACATCAAACACTAAAACTTTGTCATGCAGATCCGGTTGATTAAACTCTCGTTCGTACAACTTCGACAGTCCAAGGGCTAGTTTAGCATTTCCTTGTTGCGAACTTGAACACATTTTTGACACGCTACACGTTTTGCTGTTTAAATATATGAATACGACCCGAATGTTCGTTGAGTGTATGTAGTATGTACTAATATAGCATGTCTCCACGCGACAGGTATTTAACCAATGATTTAACAGAATTCATCTTCGTGGAATTATATTGACCGGAAACACTGGCGCGCGGCACGCATCGCTCATCTCCTCCATGCAGTGCGGGTTTCGTAAGCAGCGTTCAGACTCGGCACAAAGTTGCCGCAAAGTTGAAACTGGTTCTGTTTCTAAAAACAATGTTGAGCACAGACCGTACCATGGTTAACGCTCCGTTCTTGTTCACCCATTATTTCGTGCTCAAATTTATGTGAAAGTGTCTTTTTTAAAAGAGGCGCACAAACAAATGACAGGCAAGCACCAGTGCCTAACACCTAGATGACGATAATGAAAAGAGACTATATAATTATATAGCAGCAAGTATTTGTTGAGCTAGATCAATGCGGACTGTTCCAGCGCATGCATGGTGAAGAATAAAAAATTGAAAATGGAAGTTCAATTCCACATGTTTTATGTTGGTTTATAGAGACTTACATTCATTTATAATAAATATCTTCACGTCGCAAGCACAATAGTAGTATAGATATGTACAAATTTGCACAATTACGTCATATCTAAACTAACGTTTTTATATAGGCTACCTTGTATTAAAGGAAAAAAGTCGTAGCGCGGCACATGGGCGATGATTTTACTTTTTGTATCACCTGAAAGAGATATTGGGTTATGACCGTTTCTGTTTACATCAATATAATTGTGGCGATAAGCCTGGCCATTTATCTCCGAAGTCTTTTTCTAGATGCAGAAAAAGCATCTCTCTTTGCTTCTCCTGATATTAAAGATTGTTGAAATAATGAAAACGGAGCCTTGGGTTGCGTTTACTCAAATCCTTCCAATTTACTACTTAGTTTTACTGCGATATTGATTTCCTCTTCCGACATAAGTCCTTCGTGATTCAGACCATGAAGCAGCTGTTCTCTGGCATTGCCAATGAAATTATTTCTCAAAAATGATGGCAAACCTCCTCGTTCATCATTCATCGTGTATAGAGGACATCGAATAACGCCAAGGGTCTGAGGAGAAAAATAATGTAACGAATAATATATAGACAATTGATGCTCTCAAAATAAAAAAGTTAAATTAAGTTTGAATACAGATAGAAGTGACTCAAAGTCATGTTAGTACTCTGTATTATATTTTGAAAAAAATATTTCTTTTATCTTAGCTGTATTTCCATGCAAACTTTAAAAAGCCTTGATGTTATGAAATTGACAAAAATATATTTTAGATGACAATTGTACTTTTTAGTGCATGTTGCATGTTTGGCAAATACATAGTGTTATACTGACTTCCAATAAATAATTCCAGGTATAACAAAAAATAATTTAGTTACACTTGTAATTTTTCCTGTCAGCAGAATATGTAACTTACAAAAATCCATACATCAATGCACCAATAGTTGACTAAGAAGATCAACCAAGATTAAGAAGATCAACCAAAAACTATTATTTGTACTAATCTAGTTTTTTATTTGGATATAACTAGAATGCCTTATATATAAGGTAGATGGAAATGAAAATACTTGCCTCTAGTCCATACTGTGGTGAGTCATGAACTTCTTTCTCAATATTCTGTAAATAACCTAGCTCAATTTTCTTGCAGTAAAAGTGCAAACAAACAGGTTTGTTAGGACATATATGTGAAACTACATGATCTTTTTCCGTTAAATCTATTGCCCCAGCGGCTGCGCCTAATTCTTCAACTATTTCTCGTCGTAAACCAGTTTCTATTGATTCTTCAGCTTCTATAAAGCCACCCGGAAAACCAATAGTTCCATCAAATCTTAATTGTAGCTGTTATAAAATATTAGGTATAAGAAATAAGTTAACATTTCAGCATGGCCAGAAGGCAAATTTTAATTTCTAGATCTTTGGAAACAGTCTATTTTGATGTACTCTGAACTTGATGATGTATTTCTTTAACAAAGCTCACCAACGTTTAAATAATCTGGGGTGGGGAAGGGGGGGGGGGGCAGGGTAACATAGCAACATGCCATGTTTATCTGAAGCCATGAGTAAGTATATATTTCTGTGAAATGTGAGTGAAAATAGATGCTATAGATGACATAGGCAAGAATTAGGTTTGGTTTTTAATGCATACTGTAAATTTTAAAACAAAATACAAGATGAACTTATTAACAATGAATGGCCTAGGATATATTTGAAAACTTGCATGATTAGCAATTTGTCTGCACATGTGCAGGATTGTCAATTTAAACAAGATAGTGTCAATGTCTCTTTTTTGCCAGTACAAGTTGGGGAAATTTTAGAAAAATCATTCCAAATTATATCAGAGTTATAAAAACAAGATGTAAGAAGAATTGTTTCTTCACTGTTGCTGGTATGAGCCTCAGATATAAATGATCATTTCTTATTGAAAATTTGTTATTGGCCATGTAATTTGTCATTGGTCACGTGACTGGGAACAAGTATTAAAATAACAACTTCACAACTTCCTTTGACATAGATATGTTGCAAGGGGATAAAAGATCTGACTACGTTTCAAGTTTCAACTAGTTGCAAACAAACCTACGTTTTGACACCTTCTATATAGCGCATTCTAGAGTTATCATACTTACTAGGACAGCATGACGAGGATGATAGTGGCCAAACAGTTTTCTACCATCTTGGCAAGGACTATGCAACATGACATGAGCTGCATGTCGATAGCTGTTTGGCAACAACAGTGCATTAGTTCGGTTTATGAGACGGTAACCTGCATTTGAACACCCTGCCATTGGATAAAAAACAAAGAAGGGGCTTGAAAGCTTGCTTGATCCGGTCCGCTTTAGATTTTCAGTTTTGAATACTTTGAATTTTGTGAATACTTTCAATTTTCTGTAGTCAGTAAAATTAGTTCAAAGTATTTTTTTAAATTTTTTTTTTATATTATTTCCCTGAAATTATAATGATTATATAATCGTTACATCATCGTAACAAGATCGTTTCCGAGTAAACTCCGATAAAAATCAAATATAAACAAAGGGCCAATATATACATAAAAAGATTAAAAATTTGCGAAATTTGCCGAAGGAAAATTTGCAGCGGGACAAACTTCCCGTGTTCTTCATAAAAACCTGTCAATATTTCAACCAATTCTTCCGATATATTTGTATTTCCGCGTGCTTTTTAAAAAAAATTAATAAATATTATTTTAGCTTTCGCAATATAAAGAGGTCAGTGTCGAACTCGAGGCTCTGCTTGTGACGTCATCGCGCACGGAACGAAAGGAATAAACATTGTTGATACATGATCGGATCGTCGCACGGAAAATTTTTATTGAGTAATGATGTAAACTTACTTCCTCCAAAAGAAAAGAAAGATACTAGTAAGTTACTTGAATGCGTGTAGTAGACATTAGGATAAATCTCTTTATTACTGAGAATCTCAATACCACGGTCCATTCGGGTCTGAAATATATGTTTCGTATGATGAAAGTGGGTTTGATGATCGACGGTGTGTGTGTTGTGTTTATTATGATAAGGAATTGCAGCAGTTTTATTTGAAAAATTCTTACTTGTATTACTTTATAGGCAGGAATACCAAACCTTTACGTATATTTTTCTTTAAAATGTGAAATAGTTACGAGTGCTTGATGATATTTTGCAGCTGTTCCTCGTTTTTTAAGGACAGTACGAACTACGAAGTAATTTAATACGTCTTACATGACATATACGATATATCCACATATACTTTTATATCTATGGGATTTTTAACGATCTATATTTTGAACACATACTTATTTCTCAAAATCACTAGACGCATTCTACAGTATTCTTGACCTGTACAGTCTACACTAAATAGGTAGCCATGTTGATGACTTGGTGGTATGCCAGATATCTTGGGCTGACCCAGTGTGTTCTAAGATATTGGTTAATGAATGATATTAAGTCAAGAATAGTGCTCATACCAGAGTGCATGTTACCATTCACATTCCATCAAACATGATATTGCAAGCATATTAGTTGCAACAGTGAAAATATTGCATAGCAACAAGTGGAATTTATGTGAACATTGAGCTGAATCTTAAATGCATGTTGATGCATTGAAAATATAATTAAATACTTCATTGTGTTAGACTTTCTCATAGCAATAGGAGACCATCTAATTTAGAACATTGTGTAAAAATTTATCAAGAGTAATCATTTGAAATAAACACAAGAGTAATCAAGAGTAATCATTTGAAATAAACAACAATTTTTTTTACATTGTAAAATATGTAATATTATATATATGTGTATAATATATTATTATTAAGTTGTCAACCTGGTTTATCAATGTGTAAAATGCCAGAATGTTGTTTTACATTTAGTTTTTTTTCCCAAATGGACTCATTTGTTTTGCTGTATGGTGTGACTTTTATTCTGCTACAAATAGGATTTGGACACTCAGATATTAGTGTGGTAAGCATACTTCTCATTTTTCAAAGTCAACTTTAGTAATAAAGTTTAAGTTAGCATTTCCTTTAGAAATTGCATAACCTCACATTTGGCCCCTACGATGACGAGGAAGGTGAATTTGGGTATTCATATATTGGAACATTCAGTGTAAGTTCATTAAGATTTTATTTATTTCAAAAGTACCCGGTGATTGTACTAACAGGGCATTTTTCAAGTTCCTACCTTCATCAAATCCTACCTTCATTAGAATCCAAATTCACTTAAAAGATAGAATAATTATTCTATTATATTATACAATAATGTTTTACTTCTTACATGTAGGGTTTGATTCAAATGGCAAACCCACCAGATGCTTGCTTTGGACATAATATGAACAGAAATGGGCGCAACTATTTTCTATTGGTTGATGATGGTGGTGGATGTAGTTATTATGAAAAGGTATTAATTAAATATATTTTTTGTTATAATTATTATAATTAAATACTTTCTTTATTTCTGTCAACATAATTTCCTTTCACTTAGTTGATTAACATGCTGCACACATAAAATGGCCCTTCACTTAAGTCTTCCTTTTTAAATTTTAGTTACAAAATGCACAAGAAGCTGGATATAGTGTTGCAATTGTCAGGAGTTTGACTTCTAATAGCTTGACAACTATGAAAGGTTGGTCATCACTCTTAGAGGATTGCCTGTTTTAATACTGTACAATCTATTGTACCTATTATATATGAAAATATCTATCCTGTAAAATTCACCTAAAAATTTGCCATTACATTCACAAGAAGCACAAAAAATAATATCTATTAGAAGAGATATTTAGTGCAGTGAACAATTCAATGAGCATCTAATTATATAGTACATCCTACATTACTTAAAAGCATTTTTCTTCTGTTTGCAGGTCCTCGTATTGATGTACTTGGATTGTATGTGGGAAAGGTATGTAGGTCTCATAATGCCCAGCATACTAATTCTTAAATGTGCAAAATTATTCAAATGACTGACTGCTATTACTGATGGATAGTACTGTACCTGTCCTTATCCATCCTAGTACAATCCCAGTACAATCCCAGTACATCTTACTTGATAAATATACTTGATAAAAATATAATTTGCCTGAAAAAATCAGATGTGGGTAATAACTATGCCAGGTTAGGTTACAATTAACTTTGTTGTTATAAACACTCATGTTGCTGATATTATGATGTGCAATGTCCTGATCAATGCTACCCTACTGTATAAAAGTCTAATAGTTTTAATGTCACTTCTTTTGGCATTTTTTAGGATACTGGAGAAATTTTACAAAAATACAACGGTTCAACAGGGTGTGTTTGTCCTTCCAATATAACAATAGGATTGGTTTTCGCAGGCATAACGCACTCGTTTAGCACGACTGAGAAAGCAAGTTCTGAGAGTCTTTTTTAACATTATTGTCTTCTTGTTACAGAGCTATTGTTAGCGTTCACGTGGAGCTGAAGTTTAATTTGGAGATATACCTTATTCCTTTATTAATCATTATTGGAATATGTTTTGTGTTAATGATTCTCTTTTTGGTGAGTACTTCTTGGACTTAGTTCCGTATAATTACCAATGCTAAAGTCCTGGAAAAAGTATCTAAACAAAATTATCTTAGAGGACCTTAAGAGGGGTTCTGTACCGTACAATACTGGTCAACATTTTTGCCTTGGGTGAAATTTCGTTACATAGCCATTTTGACATAGAGACGGGAAATACGTGTAACTACTAAACAAAGTTTTTAATGTCTTTGTTAAAGGGTGTAAAATATTGGAGAACTAGACTGCATGAGCGTCGAAATCGTTTAACTCCGGCGAATTTAAAGAAAATACCAACAAAGAAATTCAAAGAAGGTAATGTTTCGTGTTTCTCTCGGCATGTTGTGATGAAAATCACTCTTATACTTGACAGCCTAATGCTGTTCCATTTTCATATTACGGTCAACTCCGTTGCCTTATTAACTTTTCCTAAGCCCGTTCCCCGCTTGGCAAATTCATTCGCACGAACTGATAATAAGTAGGTAATAATTATTGATTAAAAGTAAGTCTAATGACACATGCAGGTGATGATTACGACATGTGTGCGATATGTCTGGAGGATTACAAACCCGGGGAGAAATTACGGCTGCTTCCTTGCCAACATGGTGAGTTCCATCGTATGTTCCCTTCAGATTGTTAGATAAATCTTCATTCAGATGTACAGAGAATATCATGTAAAGAGAACAAAAAAATTTTGCAGACCAACAGATGTGTCTTCACTCTAAAACAAGCAATGACATATAGAAACAAGGTTTAGTCGACAAAAGCCCTTATCAATTTTTCTTTTTACAATCTAAACCCATTTTTTTCTTAGCTTACCATTGCAAATGCGTTGATCCCTGGTTGACGAATGGTAAGAAAACATGTCCAGTTTGCAAGCAGCAGGTGGAGAAAGAGGAGATGAAGGACACTTCTCCATCAACCAGCGTTCCCATCGATGTAACTGAAACAACGCCGCTGCTTGGTAACAATGGACCATCGACAAGTCACCAAGCCACTGACAACCGTACCTCAAGTACTGAACCCGCGTGATTTTAAGATATGTTATATAATAATACACACGTTAAATTTTGACTGAACTTTCAAAACTTCAAATCAACCAAACCCTTCAATGTACAAAAACGATAAGACAACAATAGTTACGTAGGATTGCATGGAGTTTTAATTTGTGATTAGCTTAGAGTTTGTATGATTAATATATTGCCTTGAATCTGTAGTCGAGGTTAAGGTTAAGCTAGAAAAATTATAATGTTTGTATAAATGTTTGTAAGTAATAAAGTTTAGATTTCTTGAATTCCACTGGGTTGTTTACCATTTTTATCGAAAAAATATGGTTTAAACTTATGCTAATTCCACGTAAAATTTCGATTTTGTCATTTAAACCAGAGTAGCGATAACAGTTATTGGATGTGATTAGAAGATTCGAAACCTAACACTCGTATGTACAGTGTACTACGAGAATCGGAAGAATCACTTCCACAGAAGTTCAGGAGTTTTTCTTCGAATGAGTTTAATTCATTTACTCTTTCCATTTTCCATCTAAAGTGTAGACTTTTCACCCAAACTTGTAAGAACTTGGCTTTAAAGATCGCAGATAATATCAGTAAAAAAATAAATATCAGTCTTTCACAGTGACTGTGCAGTTCATGAAATCAACAAAGAAATTACTTGTTGAAAATAAACGCCATTCTATTTCTATTGTTATTATCCGTCCATGCATTTGTCTATCTTACACGTACGATCACCTCGCAAATCCTTAAAAACGAAGATTTGCATTAGCTAACAGTTGCATACAAATTTCGAACGAAACAGCTCACATTAAAACGCAACAAGGAATTTACAAAAAGGTTTGCTATGGTATCGCGAGTCGAAGGAAACACAACGCCATGTTTCTTTTTTGACCTCGTCCAGTTATCTGTAGGGTTTGTTTTTTTAAAAATTAATGTCAATTTATACAAGTGTTCAAATGGCATCATCAAGTCACGCGTCGCGTTTGCCCTCAGCTGTTTTAGTAATCTTATGAAAGATGGAAGGAATGTTGGCCTTCCACAGCAGCTTGATGTAATTTTTCTTTCATGATTTCTTTTGTAGAGTAATCCGGTAGCTTGAGGTAGTTCATGCAGGTCATGACAGATGGAAGATAACCATCCGGGCACAAAGATGCTTCAAGCGTTTTGCGAACGATCTTTAACGGTGGTGTAAGTCGCTTGAAACCTGTGAAATACACAGAGAGAAAACGGACAATTTGCATTATAGACTATTTTCCCCTCATCTTTGCAAGGATGTGTCATCTTCAGAAAGCGCATACTATCAGAAAAATATAATGTGTAGGACTGGCGACGAAGGTAAATCATATCCGTAGATTATAATATACAAACCTCCGACAGGCAGTTTCGGACTTCCAGTAACAAATTGTAGAAAACGTCTTCTTTCGTCTTTGTCGTATGAACTAAGTATTTCGAATAGAAACTTGACAGCACGGCTGTAAAGAGAACATCAAGTATTTATTTGGAAATATTATAAAGTATGAGATATGAATACAGGAGAAAATAAAAGAAAATACCAATTTCATGAAAAAAGTATTTAGACGTACAAACCTGTCATGTGTATAACCGTGATCCGGTCGGCAGTTTTCCATTAAACCTATACGAACAAATTAGACGCATATATAACATGACGGAAAATTTTATGCTTTATAACATTTTGAGCGCGAGTTTATCTCTTGGATGTGAACAAAATGATAACTTACTTTTGACATCCCATGTTTCAGCTGTGCTTCCACACAGTAGTAAATCCATCTAGAAACAGAACGGACGGTTTTCAGGCTATAAATATCAATATATCCCAACCCGACCACGTCCCATACAAGGTTAATTCTTTTTGAAAGGTGGTGCCGTTGTAGCTAGAATTTCCCACTACCTCTTAAAACAAGATATTATCAAAACAGACAGAGTTTTGATGACGATTTCAACACTTTTCAAATATAAATGGAATTAAGTTGAATAACGGCCTACCTCCTCTGGTGTGAAGCAGCTTAAACTGGACAAGGGAAACACGGTCTCGAAGCCTTCTTTAAAGGCTTGCATTTGTTTTGTAACTCCATCAATCAAAGTCCATTGTACCACCAGCTAAAAGAGAATTTTGAAAACTCGTGAGTTCAAAACTCGAGAGAATTTCACTCAATCAAGTGCGATCAAAAGCACTTATTTTCAACTGGGCGCGCAAATGCTAGCTTTTAAACATAAACTTGTTCTGGTGTATACGATCTCATTAAAATCGTGACAAAGAAATGAGCTGTACAACTCTTCAACAATATAAAAGCTTTTAATGTGAAATTGAAAGATTCGAGATGCACATTGCAGTAAGGTTTCCCTACCTTGATGTATTCCTCTAAATTGTGTATTGTGACTGGGATATCTTTTCCACCTTTCTGGAAATATTTTATAGCGGAAAAGATGTCATTTAAAATAATCATATATGTATAGAGGGTTGGTTTGAAAATCAAATAATATAATTTAATCTACAAAACTTTATAATTATTCAAAAGTAACTCATATTATAAGTAACTCAAACACATTCAATTCGCTTTGTCTTGCGATAAATTAAATGTGATAAATAAAAAATGAAAATGTCTAACCTTGAGGTCTATTGTAGTTCCTGGTAGCCTGAAATCTAAGTCAAGATCTTCGATAGGCAAACCATCCAAAGTTAAGGATTCCACAGCTAACTTCAGACTGTCTGCTGTATGTGAAGTATCCGCTTCAAGTCTCTTACGTTTGTGAACAATATCTCGAAGCTGGGCGACAGACTTGGCAAGGACCGGGTCAATATGATGCAGATCACGATAATCTAACATGCTCTCCTTACCAAGCATCCATTTGAAGAATGCCTGGCTTAAAGGAATGTCCAACATACGAAAGTCCATAATGGCTTTCGCAATAAACTTTCCCAAGAAACGGAATTTCGATTTTAGTTTTGTAACCTGGCTTGCTTTAGTGTTCTTAGCAATCGGAACTATAAAGCGAAAAATGGAATATGGGAGTGCTTGTTAAACGAAAGATAAGTTAAGTGGCACAATTTTATATCTAGTGAATGACTAGTGGATGTGTCTAAGGTTGTTCCTGCGACCTAGAGTTTCTTCCTATTGTTCTAGTAGGTTATTTAATTGAATTATTCTGTTGTGTGACCTGCAACGGTCTTCGTCTCCTAGGCTAATCATATGTTACAAGACAATATACAAGATCAACAATTCTTACTGGGATAGAGTCCCACTGAAGAGAAAACATACGAAACTTCTTTCTGAATATCTAAATGTGACAGACAAGAAATAGATTTCATTAGATTCACCAAATATTGTGGCAATAAAAATTCCAGACAAAAAGGGAACAAATTAACATCTGTACACTATGAGCAATATCTTTAAAAGTTCGCCAAAAAGTCAAACACATAAAAACTTACCTTCATCATCTGCTACAGTTTCGCCTCGCCAAATAGCCTGGTCAGCCCGTTGAAACTCCCTGGATACTAACGCATAAAACTCTAATGTGGGGCCAAGACCAGTTCCAACCTTAAACGAGACAATTTAATGTTGGGTGAAAAGAAAAGTACGATATTAATTAAGATATTATTTAGCCTTAACTCTATATTTACAAACCTCGTCTTGATATTGTATTTCCAAAATTGCACGAGAACTTCCGACCTCGTTGACGATCTCTTCGGCTTGTTTGAAGATATTATCACGGGAGACAGTGCGCTGAAACAAAATAATAATAATTCAATCATTCTTCAACCCCAATTTCAAACAAACGATCATTCATTGGACGTGCTTCTCAAGAATAGAGAAAATACATGCATTCCTTGTGTACCTTTTTTCTTTCTAAACGTGGAGTGACTCGATCAGTTCCTTCGGCACTCAGCAAATCTGGAATTGTTTCCTAAAAACAGAGGAAAATATTTCCCTTGATTTCGATGACTAAAAACTGTCTGATGTCTTGGGTGGTAGGAGCCTTCCATTCGACTGATTGCTAAGGCCTAAGTCAAACGTCGCTCTTTTCATGCACCGAGCCTAAAGCAAATGAATTAAATGTCTTTGTTTGAGCTGATTTGCATTAGGCCCCAAGTATCGTAGGAACTTTGAAGTCCTCTGCAATCACAGGCGAAACGGTACGCGGCCGCATTGTACTACAACCTCGCATTCCTTGTTTGTTTCCTCTTAACTAGCAGTATTTCAAATTACCGCCCAAAATACGAACCATTGTGTCACTTACACGGGCTCAATTGACAAAGTAAACATCGCTTAAGAATGACATACCTGTAATTTACTCATTGCTCTATCTCTATCAAACGTGCTGCAGTAAAATAACTGTTGACGACATTCAAACGGAAACAGAAACGGACTAGGAAAAACATAAAAAACATCGTTTACAAGGAGTGGTACAGATATGATAATTATTTATATTGATTAAGACATCCTGAATGCTGGTTCACCCGATAAAATTCAGATCGCTAAATTTACTACATTTTTCATTCCTATGCATGGTGGCTTCGGCATGCATGCACCGTCTAATATTCGAGATTTTCTCCACCATTGTCGGTGGCGGTTGCACTTCTCGCCTACATTCTCCCCTGCCTGTGGTCGGTGCACCCCACTAAATACAGAAATGAATTCACCACTTTCAATAGATAACTAGTTTTATCGTCTAACCATTCGTGTGCTAATACACCAAGCCAGGTAGGAAGATTGCCAGTCATAATTGCGATCGGATCTAAAATGGACATGACTTAGTGTTCACAAATAGGTATATTAAGAAATATAAGCAAGTGGGCGAGGACTTGGACTAAGAGGTTACATGAACTACACCCCGCCGTGTTGGATTAGGACGGCAATGTTCAAGAGAAAAATTCCAAAATATCGTCGAAAAGTAAAAAATTTCCCGCGATTTTCATCTAAATTGGTCAAGTGACCCCTTAGTGTATGAGTCACACTATTCGAGGGTCGTTAGCAATATGAAGCTAGAGTTTTAGTCGCCTAGACACATTGTATGGACTTCCAATCGAATTCACTCTCATTCTTAACGAGAAATATGAGATTCCATTGTCTATATGACTAACTAATTCTACTGTGATCTATCGCACAATTACTGTCTATGGTATGTACCTTGAAGTTGCCGCGAAGCTTTCGCGGTGAGCTTTGTGCTGATAAATTCAGCAGGGGGAATCAAAGCACCTCTGTCATCCAACTAAATAAAATACAAACAATGAATATACCTCTTAGAAAAAAGGGAGAGGGGGAGGGTGATTAACCTCCTAGTTTGGCGAAAACTTCCGATTCACGTGTGAGGATAGGTTTGATCAAATTGACGAAAGCCCTGACAAGAAGTTAGTAACGAGAGATATCTGGACCAACACTATGCATGTCAACGCATTAATCAAACTGCCATAACACCTGAACGCAATATGGAGGATTGATACCGTAGCCTTTCCCGCGTGAAACAGCACAAGATTATATAAGGAGAACATGCATTAATGGTGAAGTGTGATGAATAAGGTCGGTCAAATTAATATATATCCTCATATGTATTAAACACGTATATTGCTCCAAACGCTAACCTCGTAAACTGTCCCCCACTTTGTGTTGAGGTTGAAAAGTGTTTGAAGAAGACGTATGCTTTCCACAGACGCATCTTTTAGTTCTATTATAAGAACGATGAAATTATAAGGTTAAAACAACTACAAACGAGTAAAAAACTGTTGTATCAGGCATGCACGGATATTTTCTCTTTTTGTAACTGGATGTAAAATACTTTATCTAGGTGCCTTTAAATATACAATTGTCATCTTACCGTTTTGTGCAGTTATCGAACTCGCAATTATAGACATACTGGACGAGGCGCCGTTATTGTTATCTACAGAGAACAGATTTCTCATTTAAAACCATTCACAAATCATCATTTCGTAAAGGTTTTAATGTGCAATGGAGGACCTCGTTTAATAGTGAGAATAATATGTACAGTTCAAGTGTATAATAAAACACACGCACAGTGCCCTATAGTCTAATAAGAATAACTCACCTCTCAAGGAGTCTTTATTTCTTTTTCCTTGAGATTTCCTTGCTGTTTTTGATGGAGTGGCATTATTAGGTGTCCTACTGGACGAACTGCTGCTCTCACCTGTATCTTGACTGGCACGATAATGAATGGTATGCGTACCAACCCAAATACTTGGTCTCCCGAGGACACCCTCTTCATCTTGATCTTTATCTTCATCAGCCTGTAATAGGCAAAGCAATAGTCAGGCATATAAAATAAAGGCAGGTCCTTCATCCCGTAGGCGATGATTTGTATAACAATGCGAATATATACACTGAATTTCTAACCTGTCCATACTGTTTGACGGCCTGATACACGGTCATATTGTAAGGTAATACTTTGTCTCCAATCATGATTTCCAGGTAATGCCGGCTGCAAGGAATAAACACAGTGAACACACATGCAGTAAAACAACAAAAGATAAGAGCGACAGAGTCCTGAAAATATCACACAATGGATAGGAGATTAAAGAGGAAAATTCCGGAAAGAAAATATTCACCACAGAAATGTTCGAGCCTTTTTTGTAATTGGATAAATGAATCGAGCAGCCTCGTCGATTTACTAATACTCAACAGCCTAAGCAATTTACCTTTGTGCGCCTGGGCTCTGGAAAGCCTGAAAGAGGAAAAAATAAATACTCAGTAAGAATGAAAAAAGCAAAATATGATAAACAAACCAAATATTTTCATTGTACTGCATCATTTATCGTGACATAATACGAATGGTCATATAGTAACAACCGACATGGTGCTAGGATGAACCGAAGACAAAGCATTCACCTTCGTCATGCAAACGTTGCACAATTATACAATTATTTTAAATATATAAGATAAATATCTAAAGCGTCTCGACGCGTTGATTGACTACAAACAACATCTGTGACAATAATATACATTTGAAATCTTACCAACGCTTCTTCGATATCTTCTTCAGAACTAAATGGCGAATAAAATAATTAGATTGCACATTAACCCGCAGCTACCCAGACGATTTTTCTCTTTCCAGCGAATGTTATTGCATGGCTGAAGTATGCACACAGTTGTATGACCTCGGCGAAGTAATTAAGTGATATAATCTGTTTTAATTTTCTCAATAATACTTTTTAACAAAACACTCGCATTGGGGAGTTCACAAACAACATCAAGCATGTAGCTATAATTTGAAGTAGTACTTCTCATAATGAGTGAAAGTAAAATACATAGTGAATACTCACAGATCATCGTCACTACCCTCCTCGTCAGCATCCTAAAACGTGGAACATCATATTATTTTATCAGTATCGTGAAAAGAACAATTCACAGTTTGAAAACTATTACCTCTCTTACGCGCCCATATCCTCGCAAAACCAAATACCTTTCAATAGCCTAAAAGGTCAACAAACGTCATAGAATTTAAGCGTAAACATAATAGAGAATTTTCATACACCTTTTGCACTATTTAGCAAAGAAATGTTCCGAATCATTTGATCAATATTCCAGCCAAGCGGTTTGACAAAAAAAAACTCACCTGGACAAGGGCAAGTGGATCAATCTTAACAGGACCGCCACGCCAATTCTTGACATTGGTGCTGCCTGGATGTCTCTGAAGGAAGCACTGAAAAGAATACAACAATATCAAGGTGTTTCCAGGCATTTGAATATCGAACAGAGTTGTTAATATGACATGAGGGCAAGTACTTTACAAACAGACGTGACCATTAAACGGGAAATGATTGACTCTTATAGTGTGGAAATTGTATTCCAATGCTGATAATTGAATATTTTCATGCTACACAGTTTAGAATTCAAACAGTTTCCGGACCATGTTTCCATGCAATTTCCACACACAAAACTTCCTCAGTGCTATAAATTGATCAAAATTATTTAATATACCTTGATTTGATGAGAATTAAAGAATCTTAAAGTCTGAAGACCCCTGAAAGTGAAGAAGTGTTATAAACATTTCACATCGTGTTTCACCTCTCTTAGGCTTTATATATAGATGAAAATATCTTACTCTTACCGTGAGCCATTACCACAACCGCCTGGTGCATCATGGATTTTGACAGGAAACTAAAAATATTTAATATAACATAGGGTACATTAAACTAAGATGACTTAAATATATAAACTAAATTAAGATAAACACACCAGGTCTAAATAAAGTTAACTATAACTTCGGAAAAAATGTGGGGATAGGGATCAATGTCGCGTGTCATGGCATATTACCCAAAAATGCAAATTCCTGGTACATAATACAGGATTGTCGAACAATTCGTATATTTGCCGAAACCTGAAATGCATTTCGATTGCTTCAATTTTCAATATTTTTAGCACAACATGGAAACACACACCTGTTCTTGTTGGTTAACACAGGCATGAAGTTTCTGAACAAGAATGGTGAACAAAACTCTTTTATCATCATCCTGCGGGCACAAATATGAAAAACACAATATTTAGGACAGGAGTATCTTTCCTAATATAGGAAGAGGTTATAGCTGCAATATTTGCAAGCACACCAAACAATTATTATCATGCAGCTACATGTATACTTACAGGGCCATGAAAACATTCATTCACATCCTCTGAAGGCTATTTGAAACAAACAAACAAAAACATAAAACAAACCGAGAATAGCAAGACAAGACAAGTCCTAAACTACCAATAATGATTCAAAATGTTCCAACATTTGCATGACGTTGTTTTGAGAAAAATAAGTCGAATACTTACAGGACAACCAAGGAATGCCTGCAGAAAGGTCTTTAGATGTTTTTCATGAGAAGAACGTGATTTCCCCGTCGGTCGATTTAGATAACTGCAAGTAGAATGTGTTGCAAAATGTGTAGCACAAAAGTCGTTGCGAGTGGGGAAGTTGTGAGTATCTCGGTATTGGCCAGAATGAGGGAGATTGCAAGACGGACATGAGAATCAATTGAACATGCATTTTACTGAGAGTTGAAGCGATTTCTCAATAGGATATTGATCGAGAAGTGCTTGAACAATGAGATACAATCAGATTCATTTGACTACCTAGTTATTTGGCTAGCGAGTTTTTACAATACAGGCGCCATCTTACCTGAGTAACTTTGGTACAAGGCCACTGTGGATAATTTCAAACGCTGACGCACTTTTCTCGTTCTCCGACAGAACCTGCCCTATTGCCTGGTGCAAAAAGACGAAACGCTATTCTAGCGTAATAATTTTGGCTCTGAGGCTGAGGTGATCGCTCAGGATAAATTTTTATCTAAAAGTTCATAACTTGCAATGCCAGAGGATAGGAAATGCTATCGCTCCTTCACATTAGAGTTTAGACACTTTTGACGAACCCAAAACATACGCAGAACTAAATTACATGAGAATTTTCTAGTAAAATAAACTTTTTGGACTGTGCGATTCTACATACCTTTAAAGCCTGGTGATCTTCATTGCACTGTGACCAAAATAAAAAGAGTAATTGTCAAACTGGGGGGATGATTTCAACAGATGCATGGCCATGGTACATAATATACACTAGTGAACTGGTTAGACCAAAATTTTACTTACGCCCATTCCGAGTTCGCTAGAAGCATTGCTAAGCCTGTGAAGAATACCCAGAGCAGGGTGCGATTCACTTTGTTCGTTTTCAAAATATGTTGAAGTAAACTTTATTGCTAAAAAATATCACGTTTGATAAATATATATTATGAATAGCTGTCCAGCCCTACGCGTGGATTGTGAATGTGTTATCAACAAAGTAACCAATTGAACTTTGTGTAAACTCACCTTGTTGCTTGATCCAAACTTTTATCTTATACTTGCTTTCACTACAGCCGCTGCTAGCTTGAGTCTACATAGACAATACATTGAAGTATATTTAGGACTGACAGAAAAATAACGTAGATAGTGTATATCAGCGGTATGTAGTAAAAAAAGAAACCATGAGTAAAGACAATACTCACACGGCTTAATTCATCAGGCTCAGGTAAGTATAACGATGATTTAAATAACACTTACTTTAGGTGTTTTACTGGCAGGTGTGGTGGTATTCTTGAGAGAAACACCGCGTAACGAAGACAACATAGCGGTTGGTACAGAAGACATTGAGGATGATCTGGGATGTGTTGCTTCTCCTCCCTCTCGAGGTGTTTCTAATGACGTTGACTTCTTGTAGCTTATGCGCTTTGATCTTCTTTTCTTCCTCAATACATCGCTGAATTTCCGACTGAAGGAAACAAAGGTAATAGAAACGCGAGTTCAGAAAGCCTCGCAAACTACACGCGACCAACAACAATTTTTAACCCATAATTGGTTTCTTCACCTGACGATATTACTTATAAAGTAAATATTAATATTGTGTATTTTAATACAATAGTTCGGACAAAAAGGAGTCGATACCTTATCATCTTCTAGAGAGCTAGTATATACGCGCGAGTCAACCACGAGGACTCATCAGTGTTAGAACATGAATGTAAAAGGGGGTATTTGATGGGCAGCCTCATCGCGACGCATTTAACACGAGTTCTCGCAGTTATAAATACCAGATCATGAAGTTAAATCTGATGTTCCTATAATCTACAAGCCTGTGAACCCGAACAGTCTCCGCAGAAACTAAACGATTAGCTTAAACAAACGATGTAATCGATAGTGAATGTACCTGGTTGGAGGCGAATGATTCAGAAATCCATCTTGTGAGCCAGCCTCATTCATCTCCTCGTCGACAACTTTCTCTTTTTCGACAGGACTCTCTCCCCCCTCTTCCTGCCTCGTCGCCCGGGACCTCAAGCGAGGCTGTGGCAAGTTCATGAATTTTGTGCATAACACCTTCGCGGCGAAAATGCACGTGAAAATACTCGGGAAGTTTCTGCATTAATATATCCGCCATTTGCAACGCATTTACGACTGTTCTCAGGTCGCTCGACGCGAGCATGCCCGCCATTTGCGACGAGACAGGAAATTTCTCTATCAATTTGTTTAGAAGTTCTGGCGGAGAGTAATACAACATTCTTAGTATGCCGTTCAAACACTTGTGTCGTACGGCAGGACCGACCGAGGAGTTGTGGACTTCGTTCAGTTCTCCAAATAAAGTTAGTGTGAAGTTGGATGAGATCTCGCTGCCTTCTTGTAAGAAAACAATTCTTTCATCTTCTTTCTTTGCAGTACTCACTGACAGCGCCGCATTAGCGGACTCCGCGCGTGAACAACGCTGTATGGGACGCGATGTGCCAGTGTCTTCATTAATCTAAATAAAAATAAAAACTCGATGTTTAGTCCCATTAGGAAAATAATTCTTCTTCAAAAGAAAGAATAGTTAATGCTTGATGAAATACATTTTAAAATGTCATGGTAACCACTGATGATTTATCGGTTATGGAGATCAGGGTCCAACCAGATTATCTGATTGCAGGTTAATCTCAACCGTATCCCCTCCACTAACAATAAAGAATATATTATTTAGGATGATTTCCGTCGATTCTCGAATTGTGATTGCTATGAGCCGTTGGTAATGCATTCTTTTACTGGGCTATAGATCAGTGAGCCATCCACCAATCAGAGCAATGATTTTTCAGTACCTGTTGCATTGAATTGAATTCAACGATGTAGCTTCTTCCTAGTGTGTTCAAACTCAGCTCATCCTCTCCACCCTGGTGAGCAGCCTCGATGATTCTGCTATCAATCCACGAATACGAATGCCAGACATTTTGATCATCTTTCCACTGCCAATAGGCTTGCTCTGGTCTATGGCCTTTACTCAGCAACGAGTCAAAAGAAAATATGCCATCCGAAGGTAGATTAGGAAGTAATTCGCTGTCAAGGAGAACGTTCCAGTTTGAAGTTTGTGTAATTTATTCAAGCAGATTTACATTGAGGACGGAAACGGCAAAGACGACGTGAGAGACATACATCGGGCAATTATTTGCCATTTTCAAGTCGTCTAAACGCCCCCGTTCTCAATCTTAATCTATAAATTTGCCAACTGCTTGGAACATTACATGCGCTCATATTGTCGTTTTTATCAAATACTGATATATCAGCATTGCATGTCTCCGCACGTGACTAGAGTACAATTTAGATGCGACTTAAATGACTGTGGTGACCATAGTCTTGGTATACTAACCTGATAAGACAAGTAATCTCATAAAATTCTTGTGGCGTTCTGGGTGAAAGCTATAGAAAAAGAAGCAGTATAAGAATTCCCGTTAATTCCCATTTCATGCTCATTAGGACCATGTATACACATGCATACTTGATCTTACAAGTAAAGTATAGTGAAGTAACGCCCGCTGGCGGTGCACCACGTGCACCATACACTTACGAGATGTTTGAGATAAACTAGAGATGTTTCGTACCTCGGGACTTTCTGTCTCTTTCAATTCATTCGCTCCCATTAAGAGAAACCTCAGTGTTTCTGCAATGTCTTTGAGGAAATATAAAAAAAATGTTAGAAGAACTATACAAGGAAATAAAAAGAATTCATCTGGGTTTTCGTATAGTAGTATATATCACACAAAAAACGTACTGTTTTTCAAAAGTTGAACAGCAATGTACGGACAGTTTGCACACATCAGAGCTAACATGCGAAGTACAGCAACAAACGTCCCTGTACTCACCACCGGGGGAGTTACAACCAACTAAAATAAAAAAGGGCACAATGAGAATATAAATAAGTGTCCCTTTAAAACGTAACCAAGACTGAGGATTAGTCTCATACACACGATAATTGCGGATAATGCGCCTGGACCAAACTAGCGTTAAGGGGCAAATTAATGTCATCCTAGAAACGTTTTTTCGACGATATAACGCTTGCCTTTGAGCAGGCACTAAGGCTAAATGAGCATGCAGGGCTAAATTCAAAATCACAATCAGCCTCAGAAGTAACAAACGTAGCTACGTAATATCCACTTAATCCTAAAGAGCGAAAGACAACAAAACTTGTTTTTAAACTTGATATTCCACCTTGGCACTCACCAATTGTTGAACATTTGTCAGTAAACTATGATGGGCAAGTTCCCGTAGCAGTTTCTGGAATACACAAAAAACACAATGAAGACATACTGTACAAGTTAGCTCGGCTTTGTCTACACCATACATGCAAAAAATATCATTGACTCGGGTGCAATATTTACCTCGTCATTATGAAGGTTATCAACCAGTCTTGTAAAGGCAAGACAGCAACTTTCTATAGATTTTTTATCCTATGAATGTAAATAGTTCGATATATTGATATATTGTTTCTGTAGCTAATCAACCCGCCTTCTCTGTAAACGTCATTCACCCTCTCGTACAGTATTAGAAACGGATGTGAACAAACCAATTCAAGTTTCGCTTCTTACCTGGATTTGAAGTTTTGCACTTAAAATAGGTATCGCAGTAGTTATCAGGTGAAAGTCATCACTGCTGACGAAGTGACAACAGTTAGCAGCAATAGCTAGGGCAGCTCTCTGGAAGAAAAGACAATACTGAGAATTTGTGATTCAGAGAGGACACCCCAGGCTGTGATCAACAGAAATGAGATGCAGAATCTCGGGGATCTAAATCAACCGCTAAAAAGTGGGTTGAATTACCATTGTTGTAATCATATACATATTGTTGGCATATTCACTATAGTTTATACGATTGCTTCCATTACCTGAGCGGTTATTGAGAAGAAATCCAGAAAGGTTAAACATGCAGACATTCCCTCCTAAAATAAAAGTATACATTCTTTCTTAACAACCAATAGAATATCTCCTTTATTCAAAACTGGATAGTTCGAAACTCCAAAGTTAAGAGATATTTTCGGGATAACGAAAGTGATACAGGAGAAAGCTGTTATGTACAAACTCGTTCCCTTTTATTGTAATGTACTGTACATCTAGAAATACAGCCTATATTTATAATGCTCGAATGTCCTGACCATTCATCTTATGCCGATAGACCAATAGTGATCTCAGTGTACCATTTATTCGTTTGAGATTCATCCGTTCTCTTTGTTTTACATGCAGTGGTCAAGCTAATCGGCTTATGTAGTTAGTGTACAATTTACTTACACACTGCAGAATGGCTTTTCCGTGTCTTCTAGAAAGCATCTCTAGTGCGGTTAGAGCCTGTTCAGCCACATCCATGCACTGTATTGATTGCAGCTAAAGATTATAGATTAGACTCAAAGGACAAATATAACTATACTATAATAGTCTATAATTATTTGATTTCAGAAAGTAAGCAGCTGGCTGGTGTAATTTCGACTGTAACATCAACGTGTTGCAAAAACCGAAGAAGACACATTCCTATAATATACCAAACCCGGGACGTTTTATTGTAATTGATTAAAAAAGCCGTAGTTACAGTCTAGGAGACGATGAATATCTGTATACGTGTTTCAATAGCTAATTTCAATATTCAAAGTAGTTAACATGGAGCCTTATTGAGCTAGGTATAAATGTGAAGGCACGCCCAATACCTTTTGTAAGAAGGTTGGGACGGCTTCGACTACCACGACGGAGGATCTTGGAAGAGCTTCCATAAGATATGTCAACGCACGACAAGCGTGATTCATCTAGAAAGACACGATTCCACACAAATGTTATGTAACCATTATTGGATTGTGGAAATATCAAAACAATACTTGGGCGTTCACAATGTTGCCTGACGGCCTATTTTAGGCATTTTAGGCTAACGGAAAGTTCAGAGCATGAAAATTCTACTGAACAATAAATATAAACCATAATATGACGTACAGTGTAGTTGTGACTTACCATTTCAAAGTTGTGCTCCATTGATAAAAGGTTGATCTAATAAAGATTTCCATAACATAGTTATGTCTAATTTATATATATTTAAACAATTTAGCCTTAAATTTTAAGTTGTTTTCTTAATTCATATGGTTTTGGGATTTTCGTTTTGCAAACTTTCACAGTGTGATGTCCGAAACCCTACGTTTCCCAGCTCCCAAAATACCGGAGACTTACCAACGCAGGAACTGCTTGTTTAATAGGGAAACCTCCTAATGTATCTTCATTACCCATCACAAGAATCTAAACGACCAAAAAAAATGACATATTGGATTATGATGAAACACGGCGTGTTTGAAGTGTGGTACAACAAGCACACTGCCATTAAATGATCGTTACAATACCTGGCAGAGTTCCATAACGGCCTGCAACTGTTGGCATTCATCTGTCGATTGTATACCAGTCAGTAACTGTTGAACCTTGCCATCTAGAACGGCCAAGAGCAATCAAAATATTAGTATTTACGATGAAACCACAAAACAAAAACATTAAGAACTACGAGATACTTGTTCTTTAAAATATACTTTCATTCAATTTCAAAGAGGTATCGTATGTACCTCGCCTGGAGGATAAGTAACAGCGCAAACGAAAGAAATGCTCGCACTTACTAACACCGCCGCTCATTGACCTATGAAGAAGCTGATGCATTCTTGGTCCCAAAGAACCAAACAAGTGCGGGGGAAGGCCACGTGCTTCCAACAGTGCTGAAAGGCAATAAACACACGATACAAACGCAGCAATGAAGTATTCAGAAAGAGCCTTCAAAGCTAAAACAGAGCCGTCAAACTAGAACTATACATCAACGTTTCTGACCAAACGCACTCCGTATAAAATAGTGAACCAATTTCGCTCCAGATCTAAATAAACAGTTATATTCATCCAATGAAAACCAGTTGTCGACGTTTTGACCTAAGAGCCTTCGTCGGGAGAGTTGGTATGGATCTCTCCTGACGAATGTTCTTCGATTAAAACGTCAAGACGTATTTTTGTCTATTTTAGGCAGTTGTTATACAGCAGCATTTGACGCGGAGTTGTTTAAAGACGCTGCATGCAACGCTGCTCCCTAATTATATGAAATATATTCAAGTAAGTTATTGTACACAGAAATTTCGTTATATAGATCTGTATGATCAAGCTGCAAGGTGTACCTTGTAAACGGGAAAGATCTTCATCAAGCCTTCCATCGTCGCTTCCTTGAGAACCTTCATTGGGGAAAATTAACATACAATTAGCAGCAATCACAGCGGTACGGACTTCATATCTGACTACCAGTTATTGAATGCGGTTACTGTATATTCACTTCATATCTAGGGCACGTCATTAAAACGAGTTGTGTATCGAAAGGGATTGCTGGAATTTTACGATATATTCCGATTGTGTATCGGAATTGAATATATGGCTTTTTTGTAGCATCATGAATATGCTAATTTATACATATAACTTACAGATATACTAATTAATTCTAACAGAGCAGTTCTATAGACACAGTTCCAGATAGGAACAATACGATTAAAAAACGATGATAGCATGGAATGTACTTGTTTTACATGAGGGTACTTTAAGCATTAAACTAGGGTTTAAACAATCACGAGTACGACTATGGCTCGAGAGTGATACATCAATAAATAGGGTATGAAATAAACTGTGAGCTAGAAAGATTTTTTAATTGGTCAAATATATTTCCCACGCGGTTTTTGATTGGCTTGCGATTTCAAATGATATTTTTTACGTGTGTTTAAATACGATTTTTCTCGGTGGCGTAAATCTCTATACAACACTCATGTTCATATAATAAAATGATATATTCCATGAGTCAGTACATTCTCAAAAATCAAGATGGAAACAACAGATTTTTTCATTTCAGGTTAGAGCAGTGCATGGCAATACATGCACATTACATCTGCATGGGTACTACTTACCACTTGCCCCTTGAGAAAGTTCGCTAGATCTGTCTTGACCTGAAAGAAACGGTATTGAAAATGAACCGAATAAAATGTATTTCATATTTCCAGGACATTCTTTAATAGAAAAATAATTTTAAACATACAAGCCCTGCTTAAATAAACAATTCGTGCGTCTTTAAAAATGGTGTAATAAACAGATAAGTTTCGTAGTGAAATTTACGTCTCTCAAAAGTATAACTGCACTCTAGGTCACACGAAACATTACACTGCACATGAAACACGCCCTTAATCAATAAAACACCCAACTATGATAACGCGAATTATGATGCACTGGTCATTGTCAACTGGGATATGGGGCTTTGCGAAGAAAGAAGTATATGGAAAATTTGCAATAGAGAACATGTATACTTGCTTAAAAGGACATTTTCTGACTTTATGAGCCTAATACATGAAAACACGACATCCTTTGCGCGCTTCGCGTTCATCTGTTCAGGGTTTGAAGTTTTGAATGGGCAGCCATTCGTATAACAGGAGTATATATGTAGTTCATACCTGACGTTGAAGGTTGCTCTGGGGCGACACTAGAATAACAAAATAATTTATGTACGTTTATTGATTTAAAACATTGAGCAGCTATTGCTATATTATACATACTGTACAAATCAAATATAACAAACTAACCAGTGTTCAACAGATTCAACTCACTACGACTATCTTACCAAAGAGAAAACATACTAATTTGTCCTTTATAGAATTTGTTGCGATTTTGCGGAGTTGTTGATAGAGATAGGAAGTTACGGGATATAACCCACAGTGCATGTGTTATATATGACAGTGAATTTGTTGACTAGGTGTGTTGAAATCGAGGAACTAGCCAAGGGCTTTTAACATGTGTTAAAGGGACAGTTTGTAGCTATATTGCAGTTCTTGTATGGAAAAGATTCAAAAAACACGAAACGAACAACCAAAAAAACTTGGAGTGACAATTTTTCACCCAGTTTCCGAAGCATGTTCAGTATTATTCAACTGTAGTGATTTAACTGATTCGGAAAACCGGCCAAGGATAACACGTTTTGGTCCGCAAAAATGCTAAAGCCGCAGTTTTGGAAAATACCTTTTCATTAAACGCATTGTTCATGCATATAGAGTTCGAAAAGAAAGAAATTCAACAACATACTCGTCTGATGACATATTTTGCCTTTGTCGGCGTTGAAAAAAGCTGTTTTTCCCCCGAGCAGCTCGCCGACTACTAGAAAAGTGGAAATGACTGTTAATCACTGGTCAATTTTTTGCGAAATTATTAAGGTACCAGTATATATAATACATATGTACATAGAAAATAAAAACAAGTATTAGACGTTTTTGCTGCACGCCTGTGAAAAATTAAACACGATACACTACAGTACCCCCGAAAAAATGCAGTTAACGTCGTTAAATCGTTTACTTTACGAGTGTTTTTTTTCATTGAAGTTTGAACTTCCCGTCATGAAGTCAGGACCTCCTCCCCCCCCGGAGGTGTCCCAGGGTGTTTTAAAAGGCGGGGTTCTACCCTGCTTCTATATACCAACTCCATTCACTCACTTGTTACTTGCGCAGGATCCCGTTGCTTTTTTCTTTCTAAGCGACTGTCGCAAGCCTGATGGCTCGGACAGATCACTTGGATCAGCTGTAGTAGCCTCTTCGTTTGTCCTGAGTTGGAAAAGAGAGATGCGCTTCTTTAACCTCGCATGAACAGACGCACGTGCGCTGCTGCTACTACTGCTTTCCTGTGACCGTTGCTCGGATCGCTTTAGCTTAGGATTAGATGAAGTAGCCTCCTGCTCTGTTGCCAGTTGCTTTCGCAGTCGTAGACGCCTCTGACCAACACCCGCGTGATCATACAGCTCAGTCGACGTCTCCAAGGAGCTTGCACTGCTGCTCGCCGCCCTTGCTACATGTTTCTTTACATGAGGAAGCGACGTAGAAGATCCCGATGCTGTACTGTCAGATCTTGTATCGGGTAGACTCACTGATGATGTAGGTTTGTGAAGACCTGGAACAGACGAACGTTTACCACGCGCGGTTAGCGAAGGTACACTTGCTGATGGTGTGAGATCACTTGCACTGCCAGGCTGTTCACTCTCCCCACCTCTTGTACTGCCACTGGAGGTCTTCCCTCTATAAGATAGCACATACATATACGCCAAGTCAAAATATGGTAACGATTAGTAGCATGGGGCACTACTTCACGATTGCCTAGTGTACGTACTTCACGATAGCCTGGTGTACTCTGCAATCCGTGCCTTTGTGACAAACTCTCAGTTGTTTTAGTTGTTCGATTTAGGTGTTCACGATAACACACACATGCAACTTTTCTCCGATGATGTGTAGATGTTATTCATGGGTTGCGAGGGTCCCTCCCTACAATCTTACCTTCTTGAATTCCTTTCGTTCGCCGGATAGGAAACGTTGATATCAGATCGACGATTAGAAACGGTTCTTCTGCTGAGGTCAGAACTAGCAGCAGGTGATGACGATCTGGACGCTGAAGCCCCCAGTGTTAACAAAGATGTACAGCTTCGGGTTCTGTGACTAAAAGAAGAGCATAAAAATTACTCTCTAATCTACAGAGTACAGCTACCTATCCCAGATTTACGTAGGTCATCTAACATGAACATAGATTTACGGATTTACGTAGGTCATTTAACATTTTCAATTTAATTTGACATAACCCAAGCAAACAAGCCTGAAAAAGTGCTAGAGGCTGGTCGTATCAAACTAGGATGGGCATGCTGAACATGATTTTTCAACCCTTGTAAAAGTGCTCTTAAAAAGGAATATCAATTACAGATTTTGAACTAAGAGTGACAAATAATGCAAATGTTTTGATAGAGTTTACTCATATAATGAGCAAGAGTTGTGTGATACATTGATGTTAGGGCTATTTGCAGGTGTTAGGGCATAGCAGGAAATAAATTTTAATATGTATATTCCATATTTTCCATCAGCACCCATGCACCGTAGGTTATACAATTTTAATTTTCAAGAAACAAACTATTTTTTGACATTTTTCTTTCAAAATAATTTCATCAAACCAACCTGATTGGTGAGCTTGGTAAAACTGGGACAGAGGTACTCCTAGCGGAACTAAAGAAAATGAAAACATTGGTACAAAGGAAATTGAAACTTGGCAATAGGTGCTCATTTCAAAACTTTATGCAAAATAATGACAAGTTTATCTTTAATAAATTGACCATTTTCTCATTTAAATAAAATAATATATATTTTTGTGAAACACAAAAAGCAGTGTGACTATGGCATACAAACAACAAAGATACTGCAATTTACTGTTTACAATAAAAATGTTCAAACCTTGCCAATGGTCCTGATGTTGTCTTTGGCCTGTAGGTAAAAAATATTACAGCCAAATTGTAACAAAGCATTTCATTTCCAACAGTGGCTAGGCTAATAAAACCCACGCTACAAGTACTTTCATTCAAGCAAAATCCCTGGGGAAAACATTTTGGCTTGCTAACAAATATCATTTGCTCCTATTTTTCATAGTTGATACTGTAGTTTACTGACTTCATTACTCAATTGCAGAAGAGCTGTAGCAATAAACAATTACTTAATTGTTCCCATGTTCGGATGCCAAACATGAGCTTCAACCAATCAGAACATGTGTTATACACATGTTATTTTTTAAATGCTTTTACTATACACAAAGTTCAATAATTGATATGTGGCAAAACCCACAGCATTTGGCAACAACATGAACCAACCTTTTATTTTTCGACTGTTCACTGTTATTTGGAGTTTTACGTTTCACTGATTCTTTGCCTCTACATTTACAAAAAGATATCTTCAGCATTAAATTTAGCAGTTTGAAATCCTAATTACTATGACGTATTTTTTTACATTCAAATTAATAAGTTGCAGTCAGGCAAACAAAAACAATTTACTTGACAGATAACATAAATACATTCATATTACAAGTGACTATAATGAGGTACCAGGGTAAAAACAGGAAAAATTAATAAGTTGTAACTTACAGAAGATGCACTGTACAAAATTGAAAGCTCAAAAGTATATATGTAAGATACTAAATTGTAATGCATCTATAATTACCACAGACCATTTATTTAAAATCCAGCTGTTCTTGTTTAAGTGTGAATTATTAGAATATATATACCCATTAAAACATTCAAAATACCTAGTAGTTAGAACTCAATAATAAATAAAAATATATGTCAACTAATCACATATATTGTACAAGTCTTTTAAATTTTTATAATTTGGGTGCATTACAGTATGTATACATATGTCAGTAATGAATGAATCTTAAAGCAAAAATTTAGCAGCTTAACTTGACATAACTGGCAAGGCAATTAATACTTGTTTTGAGCCTGATTTTTGTATGGTCATTAATAATTATTATCACAATTACCACCATTTGTAAACCAGGCCATAATGAAACATTAGCTCAATTCTAATTTTTACCTGTTTTAACTGAGACATGGTAAGGATTGAATAATTCAAGTTAAGAGACCTGAAGCTTAAATTGTTAGGTATCTTATGGTGAAGGAAAAATCTAGTGAATGTGTCCTATAGATTGAATTAGTGCTGATGTAAGCTAGCAACATGTCGATAGCACTATCATGTTCCAAACATTTTGTTGAACAGGCTATTTTAAATATTAATTCATATAAAACAAAATAAAACAGTTGAGACTTCCTAGAAATGTTTACCTAGAGTTCTTTTTATATATATACATATATATTCTCTATATATTGAACTGAACTGAACCATGTTCTGTAACACAACCATGACTATGTGTGTATCCATGACTGTGTGATAGGGTGTAACAATATCAGTTAATGAAGTAGCATATTTTGAAAATATATTTCATTATTATTATCCTTTATTTGCCAAGCAAATTTGTAGTTCAGAGAAAATGTGTTCACTGAGGCTCTATGTCAGTTTCATTATCATGCAAGCTGCGGTTCAGGAGCATGTGGTTTGGAAATTAATCAATGAGGTACAAGCTCAATTTCTATACATTATATGTTAAATAGCACAAGAAAGCAATTCCTTTGAACCATGTATTTATTTTTATGTTTTCAAACTGGGATTATCAAAATAACTTTGAAAATATTATTATCCTTTGAATTGAAACCACCATGAAAAGCATTGATAAACTTAAGAAAAATTAGAAAATACTGTTGTTATTCAACTAACTCAAGTAGATATATTTAATATAGTAATTCCTATATAGAAATGCAAATGCAGCTTAAAATACAAACCTTCTGGATTTTACGTTCCCCCCTAATTCCTCCCTCTCAAGGCTATTGTCCATAAACGCAAAGGCATCGCACGACCCTCAACTTTTGTTGGGTCTACAAAAGCCAAATAAAAGCTAACAAAAATGAAAATTAAAAACATGTCATAAACATACGCAGTAAAAGCGTGAAATAATGTCTAAAGGACACAGGTAGACGTACCAGAATTTCTGTATTCAATACACCTTCTCTTAGAGTTAAAAGCGAGTGTTAAAGAGTGGACGTTTGTCACAAGAAAGCAATGGAAATTGTCCTATTGCTTCTTTTGTAAATAGTGCTTCTCAGCTCTCTATCTTGTTCATCGGAGTCGCAGTATTGCAATTCGTGATTCGTGAGCCAATGACGTTTCAAGTTTCACTCACGTGACTGTCATCCTCAAAACAAAAACAGCACGCAAAAAGTAAAAGTTAACGAAATATAGCGAATTGCCGTTCCTTCCAATCCCACGCCAGTTGAATTTTCGTATGCCAGGCTGAAAATCAGGTAAAACTGTTTCTAACAATTCTCTAAAAATTGCTGGTAGTCGTCAGCAGACATCATTGGAAGGAACTTTTGGTTGGTAACTATAGATTTCCTTGAGCCTGTTTGCAGGCTATTTAAACGGCAAGGCTGCGGAATCTAGGCCGAGGTTTTGCCGTTTTGATAAAAAAACATTATGTTCTGTGTCTTCAGAATGTTATTGCATTTATTTCTAATACATTTTATCCTTACGTTTTACGTGTAACAAAAACATAGCGTTAGGAAAAGATAGCGTTAGGAAAAGAAAAAAAATTGGGGCATGCAAAAATACCATTGCCCCGTGTGAGGATCGAACTCACGACCTTCAGATTGCTCTTCAGCAAGTGATTATGAGACTGACGCGCTGCCTACTGCGCTAACGAGGCTTGGCTGAAGAAGCGACGTATTTTAAAGATATAATCGTATTGTTGGATTAAAATAAACAATAATGAACAAAATAGTGAAAATTTATGCGTGAACGATAAAGAAGATTCAATACCTTTTTCTAAATATTTTTATTTAAACAATCAAACATGAATTAGTTACGAAACAAAATGTGATAAACACTTGTCGTTCAACAATGTTAATAAAATATAGTTCTTCAAAAATAAAAACCAATTAAAAAAACATGGCAGATTCAATGAACGCTTATTCCCATGGTAACAATACCAAAAAGTTAGGCCCTTGTATGAATATAAATCATAAATGTCATGCCTTATTCTGTGATAAACAAGTTTTTTGAGTTACTTTGATTGTTTTTTTGCCTATCACGTCGTCTCATCTCCTTTTGCAATTGCAGTTTGTTAGTAAAAAATAGTTTTTTCCACCCAACTTCAGCAGCCAGTGAAATCATGTTGGCAGTAACTGTGTCACAGTGCGCTCTGTAAATATTTTCCCATAATTTATCACTGCAACACACATCTCTTAGCTTCCTGCAAACCTGAGCCAAACGGGTGATGTCTTCCAGCTCCATGTAACCACAAAGAAGAACGATGAGTCTTACGGGCAGACGAATAAGCCAGTCGCCACATATTAAGGCGTGTACTTGACTCAACGTTTCTTCGCCAAATATTCGAGATATTTCAGACTGCATTCTGGTATCCTCGTCAAAATCATCCCAGGTTATTTTCCTTTGGCTTGGTGGAATTAAACGCTGATCTTTACGGACAGAAACCTTCCAGCCTCTCAGGGTAACTTCGGTTTCTCCGACAAGGAGTTGATGGAAATCTTTACTCGGGGCAGGTGCTTGTCCGGTCTTTTCATAGAGGATATGGCCCGGATAAGACATTGTTTCTCTCACAGAGTAACTATTTGTATATCGCTTTTTATGATTATAATGCTGAAATCAGCAAAATCCAATTTTATCCCATAAATAAATATGTTTATTGTACTTGACTTCACTTGTCACTCTGTGATCTGAACTGACTGAAGTTTGGAAAAACATAACGAGGAACGTTATGTAAGAAACCATATAATGGATTAAATGGAACGCTTTTTGACCGTCGATATTACCATTTACCATAAAATTTTATGGGATTATTCTAAGGCATTATTCTAAGAAAATCTCAGGCAATTCGGGTATACGCTTTATTAAATGAAATACTCGTCTGTGTCCTGTACTGAGTCTGTGTGGTCCATGTGAGTCCACTCCACATATTTTGTTAGTTGTAGCTGTGTCAGCACCTGTGAACAGTGACTGAACACTCAGTAGCGTAGCCAGCCTGACGATTTGTCCCGCTATGCTAATATTTTGGTGTTCACTGACTGTGAAAACAATAGATTTCTAAAGGCATGAATAATTATAATAACTCGAAATTTACATAGCGGGACAAAATCGTCAGGCTGGCTACGCCACTGTGAACACTCATATACTGTAAACTGAATTAGAGCTCCCCCACGAGGCCAAGCAACAGGGAGCAAAGCACAAAGCGATTGGGCAGATTGGCAAGTAAACTATGGTTGGCATTTTGTTGCAAAATTCAACAACATATATTTGCATTCAACTTTACGTATTTTGCATGCAATTCCAACGTTGAATAATTATATTCAAGCAATTATTTCATTCAACTTCAACAAATGTTGTATATTTATTCAACTTTAAACGTTACAATGGTACATATGAGTGATATGACAGCATATCTATTCAACTTCGACAATGGCGTATATCTATTTAGCTTCAACAATGCCAATGGTGCCGTGTATATCTATAATTTGGAATTTGAAAATGTGAATAGTTAAAAAGTGGAAACACATAGACTTAGCAAATTTTGCATTTTACAGAAAGACAGAATGGCTTCCGTTGTGACTATTGTCACATCGTTGGCTTTCCTTGTTTTGGGGCTGCAAAATGTATTATTCAGCAATCGCGGTATGGTTACCGAGGCGAAATTAATGACAGAACGTACTGCTTCAGCTTCTTTTACCCTAAAAGTTCTCTACTGGTAGGTAGCGCCTTAGCCGTCTTTAAAAAATTATCACCAATTCCATTTTAAAATATGAATTAACCACAGTCCGATGATGTTAACGAAGCCTGTGAGGCCCTTTTTTTGGATTTGCCTCTTGTCGTTAACCAATTACAACTACAAAAGTTTCGATTTAGGTCTGCTAGCAATTCAAATAGTAAACAGATCTTATCGCTAGCAACAAACCTACGGTACATATAACTTGAGAAACTGAGCTGCCAAAGTTAATGCTGTGTCTTAGAATTTAGAATTAGGACAAGTCAAATGGAGGAGAACAGAGCCATCTTTATTGACTGGACAGACTCTTGAACATAAGTGTTTCATGCAGTGTATTTCTTGAACCTATTTGCTGGCTTCCCACAAGGGCTAAATGTTAAAATTAGATGGAATCACTTGTGGTGCCTCAAAAGGCCATGGCTGGTGAATAATGTTATGTTTTTATTGTTTCTACAGCTATTCCTGAGGGTACAGGCGGGTGTTTGAACAGTACTCACAGTTCTTACAGCACCAATACCCTCATTTATCGATAGTTGGTGACAACTATCCCCCACCACTTGTAAATCAATACCTAGCAAGATTTCTTGGGTTAACCAAGATGGCAATCATCTTGTTCATCCTAGTGGGTGATAGACTGCAGATTTTTGAATCATTTAATATGCAACCACCTGATATCTACTTGTGGGCAAAACAAAATAAGGTACGGTAAAAGCTATTGGGAAACCATTGGTGATTATTAAATGACATTGCATTATCCATGTAACTTATTAGTATGTATTATTTATGTAGCTTAAATATTAGTACATTCCATTCCTTTTGGTTTTCATTTTTATTATTTTTACCTATGTTTGGTTTATATATTTGTCATAATTATGCTCAGAGATCTTGAGTGGAAAATAATTCTTTTTCAGATGTATGCTATTATGTTAGTTTTTTTTCTGACCAATGCCATTGAAGGACAGCTTATCTCAACTGGTGCATTTGAGGTGGAGCTTAATGGTAAATATTTTCCAATACCTAATACTAGTAGATACAATTATATTAGGCAAGTTTTAACTTAGCATTTTTACTTTGTAAGCAATAGTATTAGGAATTTCGTACATGTTAATATTGTTATATTGCTATATTTTAATGGCAATTGACAGAAAAAAGGGGGTGTGTTAGATGTTACAGTTGCCAATGACCATTTTAGATTATAAACAAAATAAATGATGCAATGAAAACAATTAACATTTCATTGTAATTATTGCTACTCTGGTTTTAATAAATGAAGGTAATCACCACACAAAGATTAACTTTCACAACCCAACGTTTCGACACTCCAGTCTAGTGTCTTCATCAGGGGTGATCTGTTGTTGAAACTCAGTTCCTTATATACTCTCAAAATGATTGTTGGCAATGTTATTGTTAGTTTGACATACATGTTCCGCCAAGGCTGATTTTGAACTGTCTAAGTTTGAAACAGCCTTTTGATGATTTCATTTCAGCTTTCACAATTATAGTTACTGTAAGATAGATAAAACTTTCTATCAAATTTGGTCCAAGGTATTTTGCCTGTGATGATAAGGAATGCATACTAGTAGTCATCTTGCTTGTTTGATTTGTCTTTTGTTATCAGATATGCCTGTCTGGTCAAAATTAGAGTCTGGTCGTTTGCCCCATCAACAAGAACTGCTGCAAATTATCAATGAACAACTAAAATTTGGAGCCCAGTAATAGCAGGTAATTTTAGCTACACCCAAATAATGTGCACTTTACATGTTTGTTGAATAAATATGCTTTTGAATTTTTTTAATTCTCCAGTTGGAGAATGCCTTAGTGTTACCAATGTCCAAGGTTAATTAAAAGGAAATCAACTGAATCCTTGTGCCTTAATCCTCTGAAAGACTGAAAAGGAAAGCTGAGGCCAGCCAATGTGACAATCATAAACATAGTCTGCAAATATCTCATGCGTTGCCATGAGTGCAATCACCATACTACGTCTCTCCTTACACCACATGCACTTCTGTAGTTTACAGAGAATTTAAAGTAATCATAAATTTATGATGGCAAATTTCATTACCAGCCATGCTTACTCAATGTCTAAGCTTCCTGCAACAGAAGTGGAAGAAGCATGTATGCAAGTAACATTTTCCATTGTCAAAGAAAGACTATAGTCAGACTCATGTCAGAGTTTTGCCCTTTCATTTGCATGCAAACATTTTCAACCCTAAATCTAATCACTTCAACATAAACAAAATCACTTTGATTTTTGTAACAAACATGTACCCTAAATACACATAATATTTAACAATGATCACGCATTTTCTTTTTAGATCCATGGCAGCATTGATATTGTTAGATTCCAACTGATAATGAAAGTTTTTGTCGAAACAAGCACTGAGCTCGAGGCATGAACTGGATGTCTTGCAAGTTGAAATCTTTCTTGATTGTTGTCATGGTTTTAGGACAGTACAATTCATTCCAACTAAATATATACAACTCTATACATTTTAAATAATTTATTAACATAAATAGATTTCATAATATTATCATTGTGTTATAATAGCTTTTCTTTTTTGACTTCCACTTCCACTGGATAGTGATCATTATTTGATTTGAAGGCATGGCCCATATTGAACTCCACAATTTTATTGATGGAATAGTTTTTAAAATATAAATTTCATATATGTCAGCTTTACAAAGCAATTGCATCAATTTTATGATAGTTAAAATCACTATCCAATGAATTACTTTATCCCACTTTTTGAACAACTGGCCTCAGATGATGATTAATTGAACTATGAGCAATTTTGGAGCAACCATACTAGGATAAGGAAACTACCTGAGGTATTCACATAGCTTAAAGACTTGCTGCAACAGTGCGATCATCAAGTTGAAAGAGTTCATGCAAGTTGCTAAAAGATGGTCATCTTTGGCATATAGTGCATGTGCCCGAAGTTGCTAAGAACTTGTTTTGAGTTTAGTTTGCAAGTCCTTCCTCATGGCATCTATCGCTCTTTTTTCATTTTCGTGTCGTTCTTGTAAAATGGCCAGTAAAGACTGTCGCTCTTCATGTGCTTTTGTTGGTGATTTCCACACATTTGAGATTTTTGACGTCACCGGCTTTGGTACGGCTTTTGCATATTCCAATGCCTAAAAGGAAAAACATAAGTATAAGAGACTTTCCCCACCCAAAAGCAAATTCAGGCTTATTTGGTTTATGCCATGCACTCACTGAATTCATTTGTGCGACTATAGGTGCAAACTATACAGGTGCTGAATACAATTTACCTTGAACCTCCGGGCAATAGCCTCTTGTTTTTCAATAGGAATTTGTTTACCAGGCGATTTCTGTTTTTTCCTCATACCATTAAAGTTTTCTGAGGCATTTCTTTGCCTTACAGCTGCAGAATACTCTTTTTTCCGGATCGCTGTTTTTGTCTTAACATGATTAAACCATAAAAAAGATATCAAAAAGTATTCATATTTAAAGTTTTCATGGTATATGTGACCACAATCATGAATATACACCCCTAATGAGGTATGCAGATAAGGCTCAGGTATCAACTAATAAAAACTCAATATTGTACAGCCTTTTTGTAATACATCAAATTATCTCCCCAATCCCTAATGACAATTATACATACCTTCTGTTGGTGTTCTTCAGATTTTGTATCAGGACCAAGACCACCAGGTTTACTTTCTCTCTTAATTTTTTTATAATCGCTTAATGTGTATGGCTTATAGTTAGAAGCCCTTGAATTTTGTTTTGCATTTGCATATATACCAGTATATGTGGTGTTAGAATTTACCAGTTCAGAATGAGACCTCATACTGGTCAAATATGTCATAGAGTTAACATCTGTATAACCTTCCCCTAAGATGAATGGATTCTGATACGGTTGTATATCTGCTGGGGCAGACTGTACTGAAGAAAAATTACGGAGAGTTGGTAATTGATGTTCATAGCCAATTTCTCTACCACCAAGTTGTGATAAGTTTGTTTCATTACATCTAGTTGATTCCAAATTATATTCATCCTTTTCCAATGCAATTAAACCACTAAACTCATTTGCTTCTTGTATTCCAGAGTTACCAAAATGAAACATTTTGTCATTGAGGCCATTGGAACTATTTAATCCATCATTCTCTGTCAAGATTCCATCTAACAGCAAAGTCTGTTTACGGAACTCAGCTGCAGCATTGGTATTCCTGAGATCATTTATCTGGCTGGCCTCATTCTGCCCTTTATTTTTTATTGAAGCTTTTTTACCAAGCTTTTTCTGGTGCATTTCTCTATAGCTCTTTTTCATTTGACCCTTCTGAATAGTTTCTTTGTTTAATTTAATTAGGTTTTTTTCTCTAGGTCTGATAGAATTGCCTTTCTTCCTATCAATTCTGTCATTCCTTAATTTTCCCCCCTTATCTATTGTATCTGAGCCTAGGTTGTTTGATAATGGTACACAACCATGTTCCTCACTGGTTTTAGGTGACTCTGGAAAAGCATTTTTGACCTTCAACGTCTCTTCAATGGGGCATTCCAGTGAATCTCTATAAACAAATTCTTCGTTATAATCCGCGTTGCTGTTTCCAGACTCGTCCATTCTGTGTCATCAATGAGTCCAAAACTACAATCACTTGAGTGAGTGCATGGAGTCTCTTTGATCACTACCAAAGCCAATTCTCTGTCCAGAGCAAACAAACTACGATCAGTAGTTCATGTAGAGGTGTCTTTGTATCGAAACAACCATCTTTAAAACGTCGAGTCATACATGTATACTAGTATCGAATAAATTTATACAAAATATATTTATACAATTTGTATCAATATTTAAACTATTCGTCGGTTTTACGGGAACTAAACCAGAACAGTACAATTTCAGCAAAGCTGTCCTACCTTTTTTAGAGAAAACGTAGCCAAATTGAATCACCGAAAATTAATATATTACATGAAATTCAAGTTTTTGTGTTATAATTTTAAAAAATTCATCAGCCATCTTGTAACACCATTAATAGTTTCTTGTTTCCAAGCAACCACTGAGCTATATATATAATGATGAAGTCTGAACAAACAGAAACAGTCGTCTGCAATATAAAAAGAAAACTCGATAGTGGTGAGTATCCCCCTGTCACGTGGGAGACCGGGGTTCGATTCCCCGCCAGGGAGAACCTTTTTAAAGACCTTTTTCCTAAACTCATTAGACCCCTTGTTCGCACATTTCCTTTTGGGTTTTTAAGATTTCAGTTCGTTAATGTCTTAATTATTACTCACTGATAATAAACACGAGCCTTCCAAGACCAGGGAGATCTATCAAGACCAAGGAGATTTTTACACAATCTCTAATTATGTAAATTAAATAGGTGGAACAGTCGAGGGTATCGATGGCTTTATTTTGGCAGGGGTTGTCTTCGCCTTTTCGGTAGTGTAGTAATGAGTATCCCCTCAGCCTCGTTCCCAGGCGCTTTAAATAAAATAAAAATAGGAACACTGCAGGCTTTTACGGAGGACGCGACGGATCAGACCCGGGATTTCAAGACCCCATTTCGTTGATGATTTATTATTATGCATGATAACAAACAAATATATTTCTCCCGCAAATCAGTAAGCCTTACAACGATCTCGAAATATCTTCTATTTTTGTCAATAAAAGCCATTCCATAGCTGCAACATCCAGGGTATCTTTGGCGTTAGCTTTCCAGCGATAGTCTGTTATAGTGTAGTTAAGACAATCCGCGTCTGTTACGCGGTGGACCGAGATTCCATCCCCCGACCTTCGGATGAACTTTTCAAAGAAGTTTGTTTTTCAGTTGCCTGTCACGAAATTTTATTCTAATCTTTGATCCATAATAGCCGTTTCCTGAGTGGAAGGTGCACCATATAATTGGCATGCTTTCAACAGCAGTAATCCTCGGTAGTATAGTGGTGAGTATCCCCGCCTGTCACGCGGGAGACCGGGGTTCGATTCCCCGCCGGGGAGAAATACTTTTAAAGAATTTTTTACGTAAACTTATCAGACACCTTGTTCGTACGTTTCCTTCCGGGATTTCAAGATCCCAATTCGATAATGACTTTATTATTATTCATGATAACAAACAAATATATTTCTCTCGCAAGCTCGGATGAGCCTTTCAAGGAGATTCTTTTGCACACATACTATATTGAATTGTCTTCTACTTTTGTCGTCCATAACAGCCATTCCATAGGTGGAACATCCTTTGGCGTTAGCTTTCCAGCGATAGTCTACCATAGTGTAGTAATGACTATCCCCGCGTTTGTTACGCGGGGGGACTGAGATTCCATCCCCCTTATGAGAAGGGTTTAATTTTTATAACTTTTATATTTCGGCTTCCGATTCGAATGAGCGTTTCAAAGAGATTTGTTTTTCGGTTGACTGTCACGAAATTTCTTCTCATCTTTGCTCCATAATAGCAATTTCTTGAGTAGAAGGTGGACGATATATTTGGCATGCATTTAACAGCAGTAATCCTCGGTAGTATAGTGGTGAGTATCCCCGCCTGTCACGCGGGAGACCGGGGTTCGATTCCCCGCCGGGGAGAGCCATTTTTAAAGAACTTTTTCCTTCTTATACAGTTCCCTCCGGGATTTCAAGATCCCAATTCGTTAATGACTTTATTATCATTCATGATAACAAACAAATATATTTCTCTTGCAAATCAGATGAGCCTTTCAAGGAGATTCTTTTGTACAATATCTCGAATTATCTCCTATATTTTTGCCCATAACAGCATTCAACAGGTGGAACGGTCGAGGGTATCTTTGGCGCTATACAGTCAATTTGCAGCGAGCCTAGTGTAGTGTATATAGTAATCACTATCCCCGTCTCTCACCCGGAAGACCGCGGTTCGATTCCTCGCCCTGGAAGAAGGTATGCCTTTACTATATTGATCGTTTTAGAAACTTATAACTTTTATATTTCCTTTCGATTCGGATGAGCGTTTCGAAGAGATTTGTTTTTGGTTGACTGTCACAAAATTTCTACTAAGCGTCATCGGTAATACCCATTTCCACAGTGGAAGGTGAACGATATATTTGGCAGTGTTTCGACAGCAGTAATCCTCGGTAGTATAGTGGTGAGTATCCCCGCCTGTCACGCGGGAGACCGGGGTTCGATTCCCCGCCGGGGAGAGCCATTTTTAAAGAACTTTTTCTTGTTATACATTTCCTTCCGGGATTTCAAGATCCCAATTCGTTAATGACTTTATTATCATTCATGATAACAAACAAATATATTTCTCTTTCAAATCAGATGAGCCTTTCAAGGAGATTCTTTTGTACACATACTATCTTGAATTGTCTTCTATTTTTGTTGTCCATAACAGCCATTCCATAGGCCTGTGGAACATCCTTTGGCGTTAGCTTTTCAGCGATAGTCTACCATAGTATATTAATGGCTGTCCCCGTTTGTTACGCGGGGAACGAGATCCCATTCCACGCCCTGGAGGAAGGCTCCTTTTTATGACTTTTATATTTCGGCTTCCGGTTCGAATGAGCCTTTCAAAGAGATTTGTTTTTCGGTTGACTGTCACAAAATTTCTTCTAACCGTCATCCGTAGTCCGTAATACCCATTTCCTCAGTGGAAGGTCAACGATTTATTTGGCAGTGGTTCGACAGCATTAATCCTCGGTAGTATAGTGGTGAGTATCCCCGCCTGTCACGCGGGAGACCGGGGTTCGATTCCCCGCCGGGGAGACGTTTTTAGAGAACATTTTTTCGTAAACTTTTCAGACACCTAGCTTGTTCGTACGTTTCTTTTCGGGATTTTGAGATTTCAATTCGTTAATGACTTTACTATTGTTCATGATAACAAACAAATATATTCCTCTCACAAATCAGATGAGCCTGATGAGGAGATTCTTTTTTGTACACTCTCGAATTCTCTCCTATTTTTGCCCATAACAGCCATTCTATAAGTGGAACAGTCGAGCGTATCCTAGGCGCTAGTCAGTTTGCAGCGAGCATAGTGTAGTGTATATAGTAATGACAATTCCCGCCTGTCACCCGGAAGACCGCGGTTCGATTCCTCGCCCTGGAGGAAGGTATGCCTTTACGATATTGATCGCTTAAAAAACTTATGACTTTTATATTCCCTTCCGATTCGGATGAGCGTTTCGAAGAGATTTGTTTTTGGTTGACTGTCACAAAATTTCTTCTAACCGTCATCCGTATTCCGTAATACCCATTTCCTCAGTGGAAGGTGAACGATATATTTGGCAGTGGTTCGACAACAATAATCCTCGGTAGTATAGTGGTGAGTATCCCCGCCTGTCACGCGGGAGACCGGGGTTCGATTCCCCGCCGGGGAGAGCCATTTTTAAAGAACTTTTTTCTTGTTATACATTTCCTTCCGGGATTTCAAGATCCCAATTCGTTAATGACTTTATTATCATTCATGATAACAAACAAATATATTTCTCTTTCAAATCAGATGAGCCTTTCAAGGAGATTCTTTTGTACACATACTATCTTGAATTGTCTTCTATTTTTGTTGTCCATAACAGCCATTCCATAGGCCTGTGGAACATCCTTTGGCGTTAGCTTTTCAGCGATAGTCTACCATAGTATATTAATGGCTGTCCCCGTTTGTTACGCGGGGAACGAGATCCCATTCCACGCCCTGGAGGAAGGCTCCTTTTTATGACTTTTATATTTCGGCTTCCGGTTCGAATGAGCCTTTCAAAGAGATTTGTTTTTCGGTTGACTGTCACAAAATTTCTTCTAACCGTCATCCGTAGTCCGTAATACCCATTTCCTCAGTGGAAGGTCAACGATTTATTTGGCAGTGGTTCGACAGCATTAATCCTCGGTAGTATAGTGGTGAGTATCCCCGCCTGTCACGCGGGAGACCGGGGTTCGATTCCCCGCCGGGGAGACGTTTTTAGAGAACATTTTTACGTAAACTTTTCAGACACCTAGCTTGTTCGTACGTTTCTTTTCGGGATTTTAAGATTTCAATTCGTTAATGACTTTACTATTGTTCATGATAACAAACAAATATATTCCTCTCACAAATCAGATGAGCCTTATGAGGAGATTCTTTTTTGTACACTCTCGAATTATCTCCTATTTTTGCCCATAACAGCCATTCTATAGGTGGAACAGTCGAGGGTATCCTAGGCGCTAGTCAGTTTGCAGCGAGCATAGTGTAGTGTATATAGTAGTGACAATTCCCGCCTGTCACCCGGAAGACCGCGGTTCGATTCCTCGCCCTGGAGGAAGGTATGCCTTTACGATATTGATCGCTTAAAAAACTTATAACTTTTATATTCCCTTCCGATTCGGATGAGCGTTTCGAAGAGATTTGTTTTTGGTTGACTGTCACAAAATTTCTTCTAACCGTCATCCGTATTCCGTAATACCCATTTCCTCAGTGGAAGGTTAACGATATATTTGGCAGTGGTTCGACAACAATAATCCTCGGTAGTATAGTGGTGAGTATCCCCGCCTGTCACGCGGGAGACCGGGGTTCGATTCCCCGCCGGGGAGAGCCGTTTTTAAAGAACTTTTTCCTTGTTATACATTTCCTTCCAGGATTTCAAGATCCCAATTGGCCAATTCGTTAATGACTTTATTATCATTCATGATAACAAACAAATATATTTATCTTGCAAATCAGATGAGCCTTTCAAAGAGATTTTATTGTACACATACTATCTTGAATTGTCTTGTCCATAACAGCCATTCCATAGGTGGAACATCTTTTGGCGTTAGCTTTTCAGCGATAGTCTTCCATAGTGTATTAATGGCTATCCCCGTTTTCCGTATCCACCGAGATTCCATTCGCTGCCCTGGAGGAAGGTTTCCTTTTTATGACTTTTATATTTCGGCTTCCGGTTCGAATGAGCCTTTCAAAGAGATTTGTTTTTCGGTTGACTGTCACAAAATTTCTTCTAATCTTAGCTTCATAATAGCCATTTCCCGAGTGAAAGGTGCAGCGGCATATTTTTGGCATTCGTTCCGTCGCGGGAGAACCGTTTTTAGAGAACTTTTTTTCGTAAACTTTTTAGACACCTTGTTCGTACGTTTCCTTTCGGGATT